TGGACTTTCATCGCCACTGTTCACTTGATTAATGGCTGGTTAAGTGATTAAGTTAATTAACTGACTTGCTCAGGCTAAATGATGATCAATCTTGTTAACCTTGCAAATTGTGACAATTTAGCTCATCATTAAAAACGCTTCTTTGTCAACCTGTCAACATTCAGTTTACTGATTTACTTATGATTGATTAAAGTGACATTTGTATTGAAATCCTTTCAATCTTTTTACATGTTTATCCACTGATTGGCAAAGGTTAATTGTGACAGTTTATTAACCTTGAATCTGTAATCATTGATCTTTAATTAACATTGGATTAAACAATAAGGTTAACTTGTTAAATCGGATTAAGACTATGAATGTTGCAGAAGGAAAATTTTGTGAATTATTGGAATTAAGGTTGAAATTGTTTGCTTAATGAAAGCTTGTTAATTAACGATTCAACTGTTGAACAATTAACTTTATCGTGACCAACAATCAAGCCCAATGTTTACAAGAGTTGAGGGCGATTCTGTCCAGTGATGACCTTTAATGATTAACTGTTTAATCATTAAACCAGTAAATTGTTAATCATCTCTGGACATTAACTGTTAGATTGTAAAAGATAAAACATTTTTTTTCATTTTTTTTGTTACAAATAAGCGCACTTTTTATCCTTCATTATTCAATATTTTTTATATTCAAATTTCATTCTTTTTTTCTGTTTGTTGTTGTTTCGTGAGCTACTTTCTTGGCTTCATGAATCTTCATGAACTTTGTGAGCTAATTGATTAATTGTTGGTTAAGGTTGAGATGTTCATGATATTCAATTTAATTGAGAAGGAGATTCTGTTTGCTTTTGTTCAATCCTTTCTTTTCAAATCTTTTCTTCTTTTCGCATTCTGTAAGATTGTAGACTTGATTAGTTTGTCCAGTTGGTGATGTTTTTAATTTGATTGTTGCAATTTAAATAATTGTCGCCTTTTGTGTAAGTCCACCTCTAAATTGATATAATCTGGTGAATTGGCCAAGTTCAAGTTCATCTATTTTGTTGCAAATTTATTTAACCTTTTCATTTCAATCTGCTTTTTTTACATAACATTGTTTCTTTGATTCACCTTTCAATGTTGAGTTGATTACATTAAGCAATTTAATTGGCTTCAGATCATTAATGTCTGCTGATATGATTAATATTTTGCAGGTTTAAATTACCGTTAAGCCACCTGAATATTTTGAAACATTTTTTAATCATCTTTTGTGCTCATTATTTGTTGACAAAAAAAGATGAACTCAATCAACCAAACAGACCACTTGATTGTTGCGTTGAAATTTCATATTTTTTATCAAACTCGTTGTTTAAACGGTCTCTTTCTCAATGTCAAATGTTGCAAATCAAATGATAAGGACAGATCAATAGGCACATTTCATTTGGTTTGAGTTGGTAAAGCAAATGGAAAGATTGAGTAGCTTCATAAGAAGCGATCCAAGTGCGAACTTGAGTGATATTTTATCGAAATTCTATCAGAGAAAGTTCTTGATTTCACTGGTCAAGCCTGGTAAAATTAGCTTAAACTTGCTGTCTTTATTTGATATTTGCTGTAAAGAGATTGGCTCAAATTACTTGCTCAATTTAACGAGATGTATCAGTTTTTGTTTCATTAACTGATACATGTGTATAAATGATCAACACCAAATGAAACTTGTTTCTCAGTCTCGTCTGAGACATCGAAGTGAAAAATGCTCTTCAAGTAACAGTTATGAATTAGATTAGCTTGTGAATGTTGAGAAAAGTCCGCTTTTCTTTCGTGAATTATGAAGAAGAAATTGTTTTCCTATAAAAATGTGTTCAACCTCTTTTTTGTTCAATACTGTTATTAACAGTTATTTGTGTCAAGTTTCAATGTTATCATATTTTCCTCCTTAACTTAGCGTCTTTCTGGTGCTAATGCTTTGAAAGTATTCGAAGTCTTGCAGGTTTTCCCTGGATTTCGGTCTTTAAGCACATATCCTTGTTCCTTGTTAAACATTCATTAATCATTTGAAAATCTTATTCAAGAGAAAGATCGTATTTCAGGTCAGAAAAAATATAATAGGCTGAGTTTGATTTCTGCCCTTAAACTTCTGCATTTACTTCAAAATTTTTTTCGGGGATTATCATTTTTCTACCTTTCATCAAATAGGTATTTTTCCGGATAACCACCGAGTATACAAGGCCTTCTGCCTTTGGTCAGCACATCAAAACCGGGATTTAGCCTGCCCGACCGGGCTCGATCCCTGCATCTCAGAGTTGTAGTTGACCCTAAGTAAACTGATCTCGCCAAGGGTCGGGCCAAGTCAAAGAGGTCAAAGAAGACTAACAATCCAAACCAAGTAAACAAATCAAACAAGATAACGTTCAACATTGTACTCGAACAAATTGAAAACTAAATTTTCGTAGTTTCATATAGATTCAATTTGATTGTTATCTAAAACCAGTTTCATGATGATTCAGGCTTACCTGTATAGCAAAGGATTTTACAGTTTTATCAATTAATTTCAGTAATCAGTAAATCTTTGTGCTTTTAAATTGATTTTCAGTAAACTTTACATTTCGCCATTTCAATGTTAAGCATTTTCATTTCGAATCTTTGTTTAACTCAAATTTCATTAACTTTCAATGATAATTTACAAGTGAACTGTGCAAATGTGTTGATTTGTGAAATGAAAAATGAAATTAATCTTAATTAGTTGTAATTGATGCAATCACAATCTTATTTATAACCTTCAATTATTAGAGGAAAAAGTTGCTCACGTTTCAAAGGTAACATTGAATCTGTTCATTGCGCTTTAATTAAATGTAAATCTCGAATCATAATTTCCACTTCGATTAAAACTTTGCTGATTAATGATAATTGTTTGATCTTATCTCTAAATGATTGAACAAAACCATGTTTAAAATCACATGTTGCCCAACATTGAAGAATCGTAAACATTGATTCTAAATATCCTGAAATGAATTGTAAATGAAGTAAAGGTGAGCAAATATGATTAGACCAACACCGCAAAGACATGAATAAATGTAAACTGATTAACTTATATTAACAACTGGCCCACTCAACTCCCACTAATCGCAATTGAAGATGAAAATCAAGGAAGAAATTAAATGTTTATTTTGCCCAAAATCAAGACCAATCATGATCATCATCATGAATTACTGCTGCTTTTGTAAATTATCATTATGATTGTTTTGAACCAATTGAATGGCTTGCAAAAAGCATCTAAATATTCAAGAACTTTATCATGATTAAAATTTTTCTTTTCTCATATTTTCTTATTCTTTTTTCTTCCAACTTTTCTTTGGTCAGGTCAAGAGTCACCAAAGTTTGGTCAACAATCACGATTAAAACAGACACAAAAACATGATAATGATAATGATGATTACATCTGAATTAACAATAAAACCGGAATAATGATCATGTTACCTGTTTTACCTGTTTCATCTCACAAAATGAACATCTTTTCCCATTATCATCATCAATCTGGCTAATCAATTGTAATTTACCTCGATGAAAATGTAATTGTAATTATCATCAATTGCCAATAATTATCCACTTACCATGATTAATGAACTTTTTTCATTTGCAATTTTTACTCTCATTTATCATAAACCATTTTGGCTGAAAAATTTGAAGCAACAATTTATAAATTGTTTGTTGATATTGTTTGGCAAATGTGTTATAAATTGCTTTTTAAAATTGTTGTTTAATCGGATTACAATGAATAGTTAGCTGGAGATCAATTTGATTTCAAATGTTTAATTTGATTCCATTTTGGTTGCAAATGGTTTAGACTTGATAGTCTTAATTTAGATTTGATTGTTTAGCTTAATGTTTATTAATCTCTCTAATTGTCATTTTAATTGTGCTCATCTACAACATTTGGCGCTTTTTTATATTCAATTGTGTTGCTCATTAATGGTCAACTTTTGTAACATTCATTTACCTCTTTTTTAACACGTTTAAACAAATAATTCATTTTAACACCAATTATTATCATCATCATCATAATTAAGTTAATCATTTTTTTTCAACTTGTCTGTTTGTTAAAGCAAATTCATATTTAATGGTAATCCAACTTTAATTCATTTTTCATCTAATACTTAACTGTTGACCATTTGAACCAAAAAAGGCCCCGAAAATGAATAAATTGAAACTCAACGTTAAGAAACGTTAAGATCATTGAGTTAGACAACGATCGTTACGACTCTTGCATCAAGACAGATTCTGTCCGATAATTGTGTTCAATGAAATAGCAATGTTACATCAGGAATATCAAACTTTGAAGAGACATCTTTTGACCCACGCTTATTTGATAGTTTTTTCAATCATTTTGACCATTAATTAACCATCAATCAATTCCTAATCCTTTCAAATGTCCAAATTCATCAAATCAAAATATAAATCAACATCAAGTTGACGTTTTCAATGGTTAAACATTTCACGTGGAAACAGGCAAACATGTAACCAGCTTGATGCTACAAGAGCCACTTCTTCCCATCAAATAAAACACATCTCTTGCCTCTTAAGATTCACTCATTCATATCGATGCTCAGAGATTTAATCACAGATTTTTTATTTCTTTTCGAGTTCTAATGGATTAAAGGTTCATCGGTTCATGTATTCATCGATTATCTCTGTAATTAAAGTTTGACGAATGAAAATCAGAAGTTCTCATTAACCCTTTAACATATGAAATTATCAAAAATAAAAGGATTAAATTGCAAGTTTGAATAAAATGAGTGATTGAAAAATTGATGGTCAAATGAAGCAGAAAATTATGATTGGAACAAAAAAGACAAAATTTAATAATTGTTGATCATCAACTAAATTGCAATGTAAATTGGTTGAAATGTTGAAGTGAAGATGAAGAAAAAGATGAAACTGAAAGCGATTGAAGAAGCGGAAAAAGATTGAAATGAAATGTTCTTTCATCGTGATTATTCTGATGAGCCTTTTTGATGAGCACTTTGATGAACATTCTGATTAAAGTTGATCCAATGAAGAAACCAACCCTTTGAAAAGTTTCATCCTTATTTACTGACGATCAATTCAACCTTTTTTTTATTGTAATTTTACCATTCTCTGTTCAACCTTTTTCTTGCTTTCCTTTCCTTCCTTTTACCATTGATAATCAGGTTAATGATAACATTACACCTATACTGACCATTACCAGGTAAGAAGCGCATCACTCATTAACATGATGATACTCACAATTATCACAACATGCAATATGGACAACCTCAATCTCCACCCAATGAGAAAAAAACGAAAGTGAGAAAACACTTTCTTCCATGTTTACTCATCACCAAGTTCATCTTTATCAGACTCAATTTCACCTTAAATTCACATCTCCTTGCCCAATCAGATTGACCAGTTAATATAAAAACCGATTGATATTGAAAAATTATGATCACTTTATTATTATCTCAGTGAGTGTAACCATTTGGATTTAACTCTCAACATCAGTCCAACATCGAAAACACTTTGACCATTACAATCAAAATGAAATCATTATTCATCATCTTGGGTATGTGCCTCTGGACTATCGACGAGTCTTTGTACCTTTGATTTTTCGCTTAATTACAACTTTTTTCCGTCTTTTTCAGTTCTTTTTTCATATGTTACCTTCACATTAACCAAGCCAAGAGTAAGTCAATTTACTTTTTTGTTACAAATCATTGCAATTAGAAGATGAGAAATTTCCTCTCAATTGTGATTTAATGCCAGATTATTGGCAGATTTCATGTGTTATTATTTCGTTTGATTGACAGGTTATATTCAATAGCTTGTAAATACTGTAATGTTGATTGAAAATGACGAGCAAGATGAAAGGTATTGCAATTGAAAATTGTTATTAGGTAACCAAAAAAGTAATTTGAGTAAAAGCATATGATTCAATTAATGATTAAATAAAAACAATTAGAAATAGGATCAGTGTGGGAATCAATCAATTAACATAGATTTAACTATGCTGAACAATATGAAATCAATTTTAAAGATCATTTCAGTCTGGTTTCTCTTATATGGTGCTTTAAAATGTCCGTCGATAAAAGAGTTATAAGAAGTGTTTTGATTTACGAATTTTTATTAGGGACAAGTCCAAATGAAACTTTGAAAAAAGTGACCAGCGTCTTCGGACATGATGTGTTAACACTGCAAACAGTGATAAATTGGTTTGAAAGATTCAGGTCAGGTGATTTTTCAATTGATGATAAACCAAGGTCCGGCCGACCGATTTCATTTTCGGATAGTGACCTGAAGGCTCTAGTCGAGTCAAATCCACAAGTAACTTGTGAAGAATTAGCCTCGAAGTTCAACGTTTCAGCAGAAACAGTTCGAGTTCGATTGCATAAGCTTGGTAAGGTCCATCGAGCCAACAAATGGACACCACATGAGCTCACTGAAGAGCAAAAAATCAACCGTGCTTCAATCAGCCTTTCGCTACTTTTGCATGAGGAAAATGACCCGTTTTTGAATCGCCTCTTGACAAGTGACGAAAAATGGATTGTCTACGACAATGTGACCAGGCAATATGCTTGGATTGACCAAGGTCAACCATCGTTATCAACCCCTAAGCCCTCGATACATCAAAAGAAGGTTATGCTCTGTATTTGGTGGTGTCCAAGGGGGGTGGTGCACTACGAGTTGTTAGATGAAGGTCAAACGGTCAACTCTAACCTCTATGCTCAGCAACTTATGAGAGTCAATGAAGAATTGAAGAAAAAGTGGCCTGCATTGGTCAACAGATCAAAAGTTGTTTACCTGCATGACAATGCTAGGCCACACACTTCGAGAATGGTCAAGGAAAAACTGACCCAATTGAAATGGGAAGTTTTACCCCACCCACCCTATTCCCCTGACCTTGCTCCTTCTGACTACCACCTTTTTCTATCGATGTCAAATGATTTCAGGGGTAAAAAATTCGATAGCGCTAGCGACCTTCATAATGCTGTTGCGGCCTTTTTCGACTCACGGCGGCCAGAATTCTGGGTCGACGGAATTGCAAAATTGAAGGAAAGGTGGTCAAAGGTTATTGATTGTAATGGTGACTATTTCGATTAAATAAAATTAATGGTTAAAAAGTTATAATCTTTTATTGCTATGCTGCTTTTACTCAAATTACTTTTTTGGTTACCTAATACATGAAAGGTTACATGAGAAATAAGGGAAAAAACAAGAGTTAAATTTGATTAGAATCATGATTTAAATTGGTTTTCATGTAATAAGGAAGATGTAACAGGATGATAATAAAGTTACTCGGTAACTTATTGAGAGGTAAAATTTAAGGTGAAATTATACTCTTTTTTGGTCTCTTCTTACTGTTTTTTGTTATGCTTCTGTTTGGGCAACTCAACTGACCAGCAACAATTAAAGTTAATTGAGGTCACCAAGTTAAAGATACACTTGATATACAATGTGTACGCTGGATGCTTGTAAAAGCCCAAATTTAATTAACAGTCTTTTCAATTGTTTACAAATGCAAATTGATTTTCGAGCTTAATTGAAGTTTTGTAAACTTTTCAAAACTCAGAAACGTTTATCAACTTTTCGCTTAACTTCGAGTTTTTGTTCATTTCTCAAGATTCAGGAAAACTTATGAAAAACTCTTTAGAACTTTTCGAACTTTTTGGAAATTCGATAAAAATTTTCTCTGCAGTCTTTTCATACAAGAGATTTATAAAGACTCGGAAAATGTCAGACTTTTAAAAATTTTTACGAACTCAGTGAATCGATTTTCGAATGTTTCTGGAGACGAGCAGATCCTTATCAAATTTTGTTAATAATTACGAATTATTACAAATTCAAAGGCAACGAAACAGTAAAATGTTCTGTTCTGAAAAAATCGAAGTTTCGAAACAAATGAAACTTTCGGAAACTTTGGTATATTTTTCCTCGAAATCGATTTTGAAAAGATTTGAAATATTGATGAGCCAATAAATGTGTCTCCATTTTTTGAGTTTGGAATGAATATTCAAAGTCATGATGAAATTTTGAAATATTCAGACATTTTTGCTAAACCTTTTAAATTTTTGTGAAAAAAATTAATACATTTTTTGTATTCTTTTACACTCTTGTTTGAATTTTTGAATCCATTAGATGAAGCGATCGCCATATGAACTAGCAATGGACGCTGACAAACTGTTAGCTGGACCCATCAAGGAAACCTTTTCCTGTGAAGGACTCAGATTTGGTTATTATGCTGATGTTGACAATGAATGTAAAATATTTCACATTTGCTATCCTCGACAATTAGCTGATGGAAGTGCCATTATGGAGCATTACAGTTTCATTTGTGGAAATCAAACCGTTTTCAATCAATTCTCGCAAACCTGTTCACATCCAGATGAAGCTGTTCCCTGTGAACAATCAAGGTAAATCAATCAACTCATATTTCACACTTTAATACAATTTCATCAAAGACAGCTTTAGTTTAATTGAATCCAAGAAAAAAAGCTTTTCCACTTAAACAGATTGAATCAGTTCTTTATTTCCAACCATTCATCAAACTAACAGCAAGCTTAACTTTCATGCAATCAATTCATGTTCAGCTCAAGTCTCACATTAAAATCAGCAAAAAAAGTAACGAGACATTTGTCAAGAGATGGCGCCACCAACAAGTTTGACGAAAGAAGCGAGGCAAATTTAAATTTTAAAGTTCTTAATTGTTCTAAGAACTGTCAATAAGAGATGGCGCTTTTTGTGTGTAACTTTTTAACTTCAAATTGAATTGCAATTTAAAAGCACTTGAATGATAATAAGCGGGCGATTTAACTTTTTAAATTTGATTCTAATCAAATGTCTTACATTTTAAGGTCAAACTGATCAACCGTTTTAATTTGTTTTATTTTCTCTTTTTTGGACTATTTTAGAGACTTTTATTATCTCAATGAACGATATGGTGTTGAGGATGAAAACTTTCACCGAGATGAAGATGTAAATGCTTACAATAGCATTGTATCTGAATATGGTACTAGAAAACGAGGATCGAAATAGTTTGGTCAATATACAAAGATCAATGGTCAATCTCTGTGTTTGTTATGTTTTGTCAAATTGTCCAAATGATGAGATTTTCGTTCATCCACAAAATGTAGAAAAAGAAATGTGATTACGATATTTTTTTTCAATCAAATTGATGAGTGTTTTTGAAATTTCAAGGTTTAATGAGTGTCTAATTTTCAATACAATTGTGAGATTAAAAAAGTGTCTTCATTAATCCAATTGTAAATCGTCCTTTTTTTCAAGTCTCCTGTCCAACTCTAGCCTTACGCAAAAACAAAGTAATCTGTATAATTGTACAAATATTGTAATCCAATAATAATAAACGATTTAAACACAAGTGTGAATTTTTTTTTCTATCTCAATCTGTCATCATTTGCACAGACACTTTCCTTCCCAAGTAGCTCTCCTTTTTTCGTGGCTTATTGCGCAGTTTCGGGTCCAATAAGAGGAACACTTTCCACCACATTCAGGGCATGGTCTTTGTAGGGCATAGCCACCACATTCAGCACAGTCAAGGGATATATGGTGATCGTACCAACTAACTCCACAGGTAAAACATGATTCATAAGATAAACGGAGTCCTTCGATGGTTGGAATGTCAGAGAAATGGTCTTGATTTACTTCAGTTGTTGGCATGATTGTGATTAGTTTAGACGTATTTAGTGATAAAAGATGAAAATGTCAAGAGTAAAAAGATCACAGTGTAATGAAAACGGATGGCAAAAAGAGAGCAATAAGAGAGTGAATGGATGGAAAGGAGGAAAGTATAAACCAGGCTTGGTGGCTTTTTATAAAATTAAGTTAGTAATTAAGTAGACTTGGTCAGTTATAAGTATAATTTGGTGATTAAATGATGGTCATAATAAACTTGATGTGTAAAAAAAGATGAAAATTAACTGATTGAAAATACACCGAAACAACTTATTAACTAAATACAAACAGTTCCTGACATTCAGGTTTCTCACTCTTTTCTCACTTTTTCCCCTCAACCAAAAAGTAAACAAGAGAGAGACAGAAAGAGAGAGGGAGAGGAAAAGAGGAAGAAGGAGGCTTAAAAAGACAGAGGAAGAGAAAGAAGATGAAGGAGGAGGATGTGAAAAGACAGAGGAAGACAGAGGTCGCTATGATTTTATTTAAAAATTAAGCAATTCAGATTTTATCTCATTCTAATTGTTAATCAATCATTAAAACGGTTTTGGATGATTAAATCTCAACACCTACTTCCATCTATCATTGTCAGTTTAAACTATTATTGTCCGTTTAAATTTTCATTTCAATTTTTCTTTCATCTTTTTCTCATCCTCTGTCGACATTTCTTTTTGTTTCACCCTCTTTTAATCTCCCTCTCTGATGCTTTATCTCTGTCTAAATCTCTTTCTTTCTTTCTTCTCTTTATCGATTTATTTTGACTTCCGTGTTCTGGTTTCTTTTTGGGGTTCAAATCTATTTAAAATGTGACCCAAAGATATCCATCATTATGGTTTCTCGTTAACAGAGTGTATCACAGGTTATCGTTTACTGTTTCCAGTTGAGGTGATTCATTTGTCTCAAGGATTTTGCTCTTCTGTTCAGTAGTCAAAGTGGTCAATTTGGATCCGGAAATTGGCCAAATCCTTCTTCTTGCTCATAAAAATGGCTTCAAGCCAATGTTTGTTTTGGCTTAACATTGAAACAATGGCGAAGGAAATTCGGTCTATTCCTGCTCGACCAATCCTTTAATCCTTAACGTTTAAACTCAGGGCTTGAGGGGAAAATTCATTGTAGGATTTTAAGAAGTTTAACCTATTCTCAGGTCAAAGTCAGAGTTAGGTTTGCTCAGTTTGATGTTTTATTTCAAATATTCAAAACATGGATTTCGTTCTCAATAAACGTAATAGTAAAAATTTGATTTATTGTGATATGCTTTACTTATTAAAAAATAAGGTTAACTCTAGAATGTATTGGAAGTGCGTTCAAAGTGATTGTAATGTCACTATGATAAGTGAAAATGAGGATATAATCAAACATCCAATTCAACATAACCATTCAAACCATTTGGATAGAATTGAAAAGCTCAAATGTAGGGAGCAAATGTTTAAAAAAATTGAAAAATCTCCGAATCTGTCATTGAAACAGATATTCAACTTAGTAAGTAATTAACAAATTTGTTTAACTTAAATTCAATTCACTAACATTGTGATATTTTCAACTTAGGTTCGAGAAAAAAGAACATTGGAGTTAATTAATAATAACAAAGATATAAAAATAGCTCCTAGATTCATCAGTATGAAGTCTCAATTGTATTCAAAACGTAATTCTTTACTTCCACCCATTGATAAAAAAAATATAACAATTCCAATTGATTATCAACTAACTTTAGATAAAAAACCATTTCTAATTTATAATGATAGTAAAATGATGATTTTTAGCTCTGAAATTTTTTTGCAATATTTAGCTAATTCTGATAGAGTTTATGTAGATGGGACTTTTTCGTCAGCTCCGAAACAATTCAATCAATTATTTACTTTTCATGTTCTTGTCAATGAAAATATGTTTGCGGTAGTTTTCGCCCTTTTACCTGATAAAAAAATGACCACATATCTTAAGCTTATCTCTGTTATTACATCAACCATTAGGAATAAATTAGGTATCATATTCAGACCAGAACATTTACATTGTGATTTTGAGATGGCAATAATGCAATCATTCAAAACTTTTTTTCCCAATATTAACATACATGGATGTTATTTCCATTTTACTCAATGTTTACTAAGGAAATTACAAAATTTAGGCTTGAAGAAACAATATGAAAAAAATAATGAAATTAAATTATTGATAAAAAGATGTTTAGCTTTGCCTTTGATTTCATTGACTGATCTGGATGAAGTTTGGTATTTAATTACAAGTTTGAATACAATTGAAGATGATGAAATTGATGAATTTATATATTATATTCAATCAACTTGGATCTCAAATGATTCGCTTTTTATTCGAGAAATTTGGAACCATTTTGGCAATTTTGGTACAAGGACAACTAACCATCTCGAAGGTTTTCATAACAAACTTAATAGTTGCTTCAATCATGGCTCACCAAATTTATTTACCCTTATTGATCAATTGAAAAAATTCGAGTTTGACTATCGTATCGATTTAAGTCATGTTTTAGATGGCAAGATAGTTCATAAAAAAAACAAAAAATATATGCGTTTGAATGATAATTATGTAAAATATCACACTCAGTATGTCAATAATCAAGTGAATTTGCTTGAATATTTGGATCTTGTTGCTCGTTTGGTTTAAAGACTCAATAAATTTGTGTTTCTAGAGGATATTTGGTTATCCTTTTGTCTTAAAAGCTTAAAGTATTGGTCGAGCAGTACTAAACCGGAAATTCAGAGGTTAAAGCAATTCTCGTTAAAGTTAACCCAAAATTTTAAAACCTTTCCAGAGGTTTCAGTAAAACCCTTTTCAAACCCTAGGGCAAGTGACATTTCTTGGCAAAGGACAGGTACAGAGGACAGAGGACAGAGGTTTCAAGAGGTTGCTTGTCTTAATTTCAACCTAAAACCAAGACTCATTTCAACCTTGCAACGATTGATTATTGACAATTTTTTTTACTTGTCATTAGTTTTTTAGCTCAAACCCAATTACGGTCAAGGTCTTGACTATGAACAATCAATAGTAAATCCACTGGAACTGATTAGTTGAAAGTTAAATTAAGTCATTTGGAAATGTGTTGGTAAATTTAAACTCATATTGATTAATTACTTCATCATGGGTAACATTTTTAGGTTTGTTTTGATTCTAGTTTTTCAGTTTCAATATGCAGGTTCAATCGTTCGCTTAAAATGATCGATATTAACTCGATTAATGATTAATTGCATGAAATACAATAAAATGGGTCAACTATTTATTACCAGTTAAACCAGTAATGAAGTTAATTGCCAATTAAAACAGCATTTGATGATCTCACTCAATAATCGTTCATTAAACACCGTTTTGTAGCGATTGAGAATCGATTGTCGAAATAATTTAATGGTTCAAATTTTGATACCAATCTTTTAAAGCTATTGTTTGAATGACTTTGAAATTGTTAATTCATATTACTGTCGAAACTCATACCTTCAAAATATCAGGTCAAAAAACGACAAATTTTTATCTTGAATCTCGATTTTGGTTAAAACTATCAAAGGGCAATCCAATTATTCAATCCAAAAGGCAACTCTATTCCTGAAAATCTGATGTTTATTTGAGAAAAATTGATCAGATTTAACTTTCTTGTTAACCATGAAATCCGTAATAATTGGCTTACAATTGATTTACATTTCCTTTCAACACTGAAAGTAGTAGTTCATTTATACAGTAAATATGCCTGATCTAACCACTATGAATTATTCAATCTTTTCTCAAGAAAATAGATTTCATTTGATTCATGAAAGTGTTGCTCGTCGACTGAATAATCTGAGCTCTTGAGTCGAGAGAAAAAGTTTGCCAAGAGTTTTCATTTTACTGGATAAATTTGTCAACTTTTTTCGAATGAATCCAAATTTTTGCTGGATTCAGACTTTTCCAATACTGATTCTTATAATGAATCCAGAACTCTCCAGTCGACCTTGCTTGAGTAGATTTCGAGGCTTTCACCTTTTCGTCTCAACTCATCTGTGTCTTGGAAATGGGTTTGGCATACATTTTTTGAAAGCAGATCAGTGCAAGTTCATTTGACACAAGATCCCGTATTTAATTTTGCTAAATTATGTATCAAATTAAAGAACGTTTTTTATCTGAAATCATTGATCAGAATTTTCTCTTCTCCTCTTTCAGTATTCATGGATTTGCTGCAATAGTAACTAACACTTTTCTCAAATCATCATTACAAACCTTTGATTTAATTTTAAAAGATTAACCTGATTGGATCTAAATTTAAATTTCCCATGTTGTCTCTCTTTGCTCCATAAAACCATTCTTATTGTTGAATCTTGTCGACAAGATTTTCAATATTTTGTTAGATTCTCAAATAGGTAAAATGCATCATGAGTTGTTTTTTCAGTTTTTTTATGTTTCATTTTATTTTTGTAATAAAATGTATTGGATATTGATTTTAGTGCATTTATTAATATGTATCAATAAATTGTGCTCAATGCTTATTGATGCTATTGACAAACTCAGTGCATGATAATCTCTCAATTCTCGGAACTCTGCATGACGAATGGTTTTTGCATATTTATTTATCACATATTGACGAGATGATGTGGATTAAGGCTTAGGATTAACTCTGCTAATGAGACAATCAGAATCAAAATGTAGATCGAGATACACAATGATCCAACGTTTCATAGTTTTTATATAAATACAAATCCATACGAAAGGTTACATATTATGTCCACAGGAGCATTATGTTCGGTTGAGCATATCAACTGCATCTATTGGACGCATCTGAACGATCTGACTGAAATTATTTCTTATATAATCTGGAGTGGGTTTATCAGTACCCTGTATAGTTGAAGATTCATCAGTGAGTTATGGTAATTATGAACTTGATTTGAATTATCGTTACTTGGGACCAGTAACTTTGTGTTTTACATTTATAACTCTCACATTGTACTTCAATCATTCAAAAACAAATATATAATATTAATTCATTATTTCAGGAGGAGCAAGATGAAATTGGGATAAATGCATAGGAAATACACATGTAAACCCTAGAAATGAGATTCATATTGGCAGATCTTATCTTAATGTCATTACAACTCAGTATTTCAGTAAACTAAATGTTATTCAATCAAAAACTGTTGAGAAATACAAATATAATTTAAAAAATTTTAGGATGAGAAACTGAATACACACTTGTTGGTACAACAAAGATGCCTATGACGACAATGTAAGAATAAAACTGTCAATGAAAATTGCCAAGACATTAAACAAGTCTAACCAGCTAATCAAAGAGCGCTCAGGTGCTCTTCAGCTTCAAGAATAGCTAACATTGGACGAATAATGAGTTCTGAAGCGAATATTATGTAACGATTTTTGACTCTCAAAGACTAAAAAATTTCTGAAATTATTTCTAATATTGTGTGTTCATTTTTTTCAATAGATGCATTCAAGATGGACAAATATGAAATACGCTGAGTAAACATTATCAACTTTATCTAGAGTTATAGTTGGTGGCGATGAAGAAGCATGTTTGAGGCAAAATTCATATAAATGTGAAACATTTACGTAAGTACTTTAACAAAAGTACCATTTACCGTTTTGTAACTTTTCATCTCATTTACAGGGCCATTGCATTCTTTAAGATTGGAAAGGGTAATGTGTGTGAAAGAATCCATGATAAAAATGTAAAACTCGCTGTAGATAATGTGTTCAGTCAGCTGAGAATAATTGTCAATTCTTTTCCTATTTCCATTATTCTGACAGAATTGAATGTTTTGCATCGACCATTTCAAATGTTTTATTGTGTACCTTTTTGGTTGGACATCTATCGAAATATAAAAAGAAATTTCTTTGCGCAGATTCAAAAACATTGAAAAATCTGTGCCGCTTCAAAGTTCTCTTGAAAAATGTAAACCTTTTGTTTCGATTCAGATTCATGTAAATCATTCCGACTTTGCTCTGGTTCATGTAGTTCAACAGATTATTATACTGATGAATAAAGCGTTCATAGTGAAAATTGTGATCTTTAGATTCGTATGTAAAGGGAATCTGTTTAATATTGAAACTAAATTTTAATTGCTTTCGTATCACAGCAAAAGTATTTGATTTGATAAATTTGAATTGACTGGAAAATGGATCGTAGAAGACGTGTTTCCCATTGAACTGAGCCTAAATGCTGATCAATGTGCCACTCTCTGTTATCATTGGAACGATGTGAGGCAGTTTGTCAGTCAGATATTTTTACCCAGCTCATGACAGAACACTGAGCCTGGGTTGTTTATCAAATTATTCAAGGCATGATACTAATGAGAAACTTCTATACCCTGATACTTGTCAAAATTACGAAAGGACCAAACAGAATGCTGAGGTATCCACAAAAGTTACAGATTCTGGAATGACTCGCGGAATCATCGTTCTATTATACATGTATGTTTGATCTCTGGACTTTTTTTTCTGAAATTGTTACTTCAGCAGCATACTTCAAATATTTTTCTGTCAATATCGTTGAATTTATCAGATAATGACTGTGAATATATACTGTTATGGAAGAATGATTGCCATAAAATATTGATAAATTTCAATAGTACAAACCTTGACTATCGAAATGTCCCAACTTTCGAATTCTAAAACCGTATGAATATTATTTTCTATGAAAGAAAGCTTAGTGAAAGAATTATGAGGAACGTAGTGTTGGTGTTAAAGCGTTTTATTGTGGTGCAGGGAAGTTCAACAATTTAGTATACACTAATACAATATTAAGTTACAATAATTCGGTTACAAATTAGTTTGGTTAACAATAAGTTAAGGGTTACTGGGTAGGTAACAGTATAAGGAATAATTGTGGGAACAAACGGAGTCAAACTGATATGGTTAAGAGTTGAAGTGGTAATGTGATTTATTAATAATAACTGAAATTGAACCATTTTATACTGGATTTCAACTCTTAGATTCGCACACTTTGTAAGCATAAAATTATTGATCACAATATGATTAATTCATAATTATTGTGACCAAAAGATGTCAAAACATAGTTTGATTGACCAACCAACAATCATTGTGTATAATTGATGTTAAAATCAATATATTTATTTTTTATTGCAGGCCGCTATTTGTAACAGTCCCTGTTCTTTCAACCAATCTTCAACGTTCTTCTCATTGAGGTCTAGAAGTCTTACTGTTTCCGCCGCTGGCATTTTCTTATGCTGCTCTAACCCTTGGTAGTACTTTCTGTATAAACGAATGAGATATCTTGCCGCTGCGGTAGGGTCTGAAGTGATTTCTTCAATCAAAGTTTCTTTCTTCAAACCTTTATCTGTGCGTACATAGAACCTGATTAATACCTCTAAAGGGACGTTTTCAAATAAGGACGCGACATTTACATGGTCGATGTTATTTGTGAACAGATCGTTGAGTGTGATTTGAAGGCTGGTTAAGGTTTCATTTCTGCTATCAAAAGAGAGCAATCGCATGTCTTTACAAATGTTGAGAATCGATTTCTTTACCTCATCTAAAGGTTTGGTTCCTTCAATCTTCAGATTTTGCTGATTTGGTTTAATACTAGCGAAATAAATCCCTTTGGCTCCTGCTTTTCTAGTATGATAATGACCTGCGATTGCCACGCTTTTGGGTGTACAGGACGGATAAGTGCATATAACATATAATGATAAAGTTTTCTTTTTATTATTTTCAGGTCCGAGTTTTAACAAGTGGGTCAGACTGGAAGGTAGATATTCGCCAGGATGTTCAGTTGGACCACCTGGTTTAGCAATCTGTTGGAGGAATCGCCGTCTCTCTTCGGCTTGTCTCCTTCTTCTGCTTCCCTTTGATTTTGTCAACGGTTTATCAGACTGCATTCGTTCTTTGTTGAGTAAGGGACAGTTACGAATCTGGTGACCTGTTCCTTTGCATGCTAAGCAATTTGTGCATTTTGCATTGCGGTGCATTTTACTAATGTCAAAGTGTTACTTTTTTATTTGCTTGTAACGTACGTTGCCTAATTCTAATTTGAATCTATCAACAGCCAATCGCAATCTTGATTCTCAGCGTAGAGCAAACCAGGAAATATTGACAGGCGATTGCAGGAAAATGCTTTAATAGCTAACTTGCAGAGGACTAAAACTGGTGATGACTTATCTACGAATCTCGGTGGAACTTTCAATTGAAAGAATCCTGCGAACCATAAGCTTGTGATGCAGGTTAACAAGTTTAAGGGTAAGGGAAGGTTAATAATTTGAGTTACAATAATACAATATTAAGTTATAATGTTTACAATTATAAGGTTACAATGAATTGATTACAAATTAGTTTGGTTAACAGCAAGTTAAGGTTTACTAGGTAGTTAACGGTAAAAGGAAGGATTAAGGAAACCAACGGAGTCATCGTTGACTCGACCGCTGGCTGGAAACTGACATGGTTAAGAGTTGGAGTGGTAATATGATTTAATAACTGAAATTGAACCCTTTTATACTGGATTTAAACTAGCTCCCTCTTAGGTTTGCTCACTTTGATCCCAATATGATTAATTCATAATTATTGTTAAAAAGATGTCAAAACATAATTTGATTGACCAACCAACGATCATTGCGTATAATTGTTGTTAAAAATCAATAAATTGATTTTTATTTGTTACACTTAGCATCAATTTAGTTATCGATTTTCATGTACAAGTATCTGGCAAGTAAGCTTTTCATTGGGCACGTAAGTTGACAAATCTAAAGGATGATTTTCAATGTTGACAATGTTCAGGAACCTAATTTTTTGAATTATGGTTTACCGATTTTCTATTGGGAACAAATAGCTGAACAAACGAGATCTGCGTTACTTGAAAAATGTCATATTCAAATAATCAATTCAAGATTAAACTTGACGAAGCAAGTTGATAAACTTGTGATCAAAACCAACCAAGTTCACTTAAAAATGAAACTTTATTGATGAATTGGAGTAAAATAAATTTTCCTTCAACTTAAACTTTACAATAATGCTTTAAAAACATTGATTTTTAATGGTCAAGAATCTCAAATTTAACAGATAATATAAAGGACTTGAGTGGACAATATTATTCCTACGATTAATACATCTGTTTTTAGATCAATCAACGTAAGTCTTGATACAAATTGACCCGATAATGTTTCATTAGAGTCTCGATTTGGTCAAAAAACTCAAATCACATTTTAAACAGTCAGTTGACTTTTATCAATTTGTTGTCAAAATACAAAACAATGATATCCATTGGCTTTTCAGTTCAACAGTTCAACATCAATTAAGCACTCAATTAATCACTAGATTTGGTAATTGTCTAAATTGACCCTCAATTGTCCATGAATTGAACGAAAGACCAGAGAAACTGATAAAAATATTAAAACAAAATTATAAATAAGTCAAGTATTATTTTGGTTGTTAAGCAAAAAACAAAACAAAAAGGTATCAACAAGTAACAAGCGGTTTATTCAAATGATGTTCCTGATGAAAACTGTACTTTCCCTGTTGAACAGTTAAAGGTTATTTATTTTAAACGGCGCAATAAGTACCAAAAATAAGTAAATCTTATAATTCAAATAATTATCATTAAAATTAATAATAAATAGAAAAGGTTGAAAGCTGGAAAACTAAAGAGGATCGAGCAAGAAACACAACAACAACAAAAACAAGTTATGATTATCAGGATAAATGCAAACATACGCATAATAATTTGAGTTGAATTTAATTGCACTTTGACTTTCACCCTTTTCCCACTTTTATTCATTCACCTCCATTCATCTAATTAGTTTTTGTTAATAATAGTTGAATAAATTGATGGTGAAACGTACCAACAATCAACAATGGAAACAACAGCAAACATTAATACATACAACCAGCAAGCTAAACATGTTGATACAACTTTCATCTTGTTCATCAATGAATCCTCCTTTTATCCACCTTCTTGTCCTCCTCTTGATCATCATGTTAACCCTCCTTACCTGCAATCAAACCATAAATATTACTCTTTCGGTGTCACTTCATCATCATCTAGCCCACCCCACCAGTACCCATACAATAGCACCGTTACAGCTCACTGAGCTATCGAGTTTAACATTTGATAACAGTTTTGGACTCTTCTTTTCATCCCACAATCTCACTGTCTTTTTTTTCACTCATTTACTTTATTGTCACAGTTGAACATTTTATCTTGATCAACATCAACATCAAGTTGATTCAGTTTATTCATTTCATTATTGAAAAATATATTAATCAATAGAAATCTACTTTTTCCCTTAAACACACACCAATTCGTTATCGAGGAAACAAAAATTAAGATAAAGCAAAATTAAAATACCAAGTAATCTGATTTCTTACAACCCTTGGTTAACCCTGTTTTTGGCATCATAATGCCTGTGACCTCTGAGAGCTTATCAAAGCCCTCAGGATCAGACCCATCTTCATCATCACCAGGTTCATCTTCATTCTCATCAAATTCATCTTCATCCAATGGCAGTTGTCCAGAGAATCAAAGTGCCAATCCTAGTGTTTCAAGAGGAACCAAAGCTATCAACCAGCTAAATTGGAAATACAATGAAGATATTGTCATGTCAGGTACTTCCGGACGTTTTCCGGAGGCCGATAGTGTTGAAGAGCTTTGGTACAATTTGATGAATTCAATTCCAATGTACACAAGAGACGCTCGTCGATGGCCAGTCAGTAAGTACAACATTCCCAGTAAACCCAATAAGCAAACCCAACAACCCAACATAACCCAAAACCTTAAAAGCCCAAACCTTAACTTAACCAATCAACTCTAACCCGATAAAATAAAAATCATTAAAACACTAATAAAAGCTGAAAAAATTGGCTTTAAAATATGGAAATATAAAATGTCCGTTAACCTGAAAATTTGCTTTCCAATTGGTATTATCAATATTGAGAGTTGATTTTTTCTGCTCATTTTAACTGTTAAACTATTTGCTTAATTGATGAACCGAAGCGATCTCGAAGAAATGTTGACGATGATAATCAAAGAAGGAAGTGAAATTATGGGAAAAGTGAAAATTGAGAGTTAAATTGTGAACACAATCAACCTGTTGTTTGTATGTTAATGGGTAACTGGTATTGGGATAATAGTGAACCTGAATCTTCCCTGGGCTTTCCTTAGTTGTTTGCTAATAGGAAATCCCACTCCATTTAATTATAATTGTTAACAATCGCCTTAATTGTAGTTAGTCTAATATATTCCCTTCCAAGTAATTTACCCTCTAAAACATTTTCACCCTTAAAAGTAAAAGTTGGAAAACAATAACATTAAAGGTTGAAGTTGAGTAAAAATGATTTGAGACATTTTCTTGTACCATTTTATGGCCTTTAATTTACTTTTCTCAACCTATTCTAATTTGTATTGCTGTTAATTGTTATAAATTGCTGCTTCAAATTAACTTGAAAATTGGTTAAGTTTACCAATAGTTAAATGATTAATTATAACTCATAACTGTAATACTAATGAGAAAGGTTTACTTGAAAAAAAAGAGGGAAACATTTTTAGTTTAAACTCGGAAGATTGTTCACTTTTTTTATATTGATTGATTGTTGCCATTAACTGTAACTGGTTGACTTAACAATATGTTAAACATTTTGTTGTTTGCTGTTTAATAAGCATTATTTAATCAGGAAAATGATAGTCCCAATTACATGATTATTAGATGTTAATTCAGTCTTTAAAATTGTATCTTTCAATTATTGTTATTCATCTTTGCATTTTTCAATCTTCAAACTGTCCATCAATCTTAACATTTGTTTAGTTTCATTCAGTTTTAGTTGATTTACTTGATTATTGTTGACTATAATGATCACTATTGTAAACCCTATTTAGGAAAGTTAACATCAACTCAAATTAAATGATGGCTATCAATTTAATGATAACCTTTAATCAGCTTGCTTGACAATTTGCTTCATTGTTTGAAATCTGGCTTTTTTCATTTTTCAGTATTTTTTTCAACCAACAATTGACAATTTTGATTGTTTACACTCAGCTAATTATTGATACTGTCAAGATCAACAGTTAAAGTACTTCTTTTAGACCATTGATGAGCAAATTGGGAAAAAAAGCTTACAATCAACAATCCTAACATCAACTATTGTTGGTGATGAGAGGTCAAATGTTGATTGTGATTTAGTCAGCTTTTGTAATTGTATTCCTGATTTGCTGTTTACTAAATATTGGCATTTCTTGTATTTCTTCAAGCTTTCATCATTGTTTGCTTGATTAACGTCAACATTGTATTATTGAACAGATTAATACTTTGATTGTAATTATAATCACATTTCATCTCATTTAAACAATTATCATTATTCACTCGGAAGAGTTAATGGTTTAAGAATGGAAAGACTGAGAAATTTTTTAAACTGTAAATGGCTGTTACACTGAACATCTTGGGACATGTTTGAAAATCTAGTTCATTAGGTTTACACTTTTCTTAATAATTTAATAATACAATTTAACGTTAATCTGGTGACACAAATAAATTACAATTAAAGAAAATGCTTCGTCCAAACACTTATTATTTTGAATAATTAATGGTGAACTCAATTCAAAGTTGGATAATAGCAAACATTTTCATCAACTCTCGATCTCTTAACGATTTAGATGATCTATCATTGAGAATTGTTGATCGTATTGATTTTGTATCAGTTTATAGTTGATGTTTGGTCAGTTCAATATTCAATGCTTGATGTGTTTTCCAAATTCAAGTGATAATCAGGTTTTTTTGCCAGGTAATTTCCGAGTTCTCAACTAATATTCTGTAATTAGTTATTATCTGGTTATAATTGTGCTTGGAATTGGTTGAAGTGTTTCCAGCAGTGAATCTGTTATTCCTGGATGTTTACCCCTTTAAATATTTGAATCAAAGTATCCAGTTAAAATAGGCTTCTTATTGTCACACTGTCAATAAATCATTTTGAAGTTGACTTTTTTTTCTGGCTAATTATCAACTATTGATGTGAATCGATCCGCAATAGCTTGAAGACCATCATAACTTTGATTATAGTGCTTGTCATCAAATGAACTTTTCAAATACACTTTCTTGGAAGATTGTCAATCAGCCTCGGCAATATGATGATCATCTTTTGATTGCTATGAATCGTTTGGCTTTCATGTTTTGCTGTGCTACAAGAAAAAGAAAAAATAACCTCAAATCAATAACGAAGCTTAAAGTAATCAAATGAGCATTGAACATTGAAAAAGAGAAACAATCGAGGAGAGAAAAAAATATTAAGCAATTGAACTTAAATTTTGTGTTGATTTGACTTGAATAAACTTAAAAGGTTACTTAACTCACTAAGTTGGTCAAAATTAACTCGGTTTTGAGGTTTAATTCAGACATAAAAAACCATTTCAACAAGATTAATAGATAGTCGACATTATATTCAATCTATAATTAATTCAAACCTTTAAGGCTTTAATCGAGACTTGATTTCATTTGAGACTACACAAAAAAAGCAAGTTTAAAAGGAGATGTTGCCTGATGCTAAAACAAGATTAATCAAGTCATTTAATCAAATTACGCTTAATTATTGTAGATAAGTTGGGCAAGGAAGCAGAATTTGAAAATTTGATGGATAATTTGAGATTCATACTTCATTAAGAACTGAACAATTTGAATAAAACAATAAATATCGGCATGAAAAGCGACTAATCCTTGCAATCCTTGATGGCAATGCAAATAACATTCGTCATAAATAGCATTTAATTGTAGGTGAACCAGATTAACGAAGAAGATGGAATCATAGTCCAGATTAATTCAACGATAGGAAACTTCAAGTTATCTGTAAGTTAAAAAAAGAGAGATTAATTAACGTTAGTCAAATGATATAATAATAAACAATAGAATGATTGGAATGAAATTATCAACTGACGTTAATCAAATTGATTTACAGCAGACAATCAAAACAGAGATATAAAGAAAGCAATCAGTGTGCTCATGCAATCGGAAAAACTACTCATGGAGTGTTTCAACAATTATGATATAATAATGATAGAAATTTCGTATTTACTCAAATTAAAATGAACTTTTGAACTTACCTTTCATCTATAACATACACGAAAATTAGATTAAACTTGAAAATATTGAAAAGATTAAGGAATAAGATTAAATAAGGAAAAATCACAGCTTAATAGATCAATGGGAATCACATAGCAAAGAGGCTTTTATAATACAGTAAAAACACGTGTATAACGACTGACAGTTATTGTTGATATCAGACTTTCATTAAAATTGTAACATTGAAATTCATTTGAAAATATCATTAGTTGATTGAATGGCAGTTTAATTCACGATAATTTAATTGATCAAAGGATTGTAATAAATATTTTAATTACTGGGAAATAATTTAAGGACAAAAATGGTAAAAAATAAACTCTTTGTTAGAGATCGAGAGGGAACAGAAGAAACAAATCTCATTGGTCAATGGCTGTAAATTAAGGGTTAGAGGGAAATATGAATTGTAATTGTTTCGCATTGTAAGGAAATTTAAATTGTAATGACAATTATTTACGACAACAATTTTACTTAATTTACCGGAATTTACCGAAAATTTCTTTCAAATTAATTAATCCGAGTACATAAAAATTCAAAATGTCAGTAAAAGTGTTATTAAGTCGCTTTATAATCACCGAATCTTACCCTGTTGATTGTTAAGAATGGTTGATTGCCACTGATTTTTGGGAATACCTTAACTTGGTAATTTAACTCAGGGATTTTTAAAATAATAAATAGCAATTTAATTAACTTGGCTCATTATTGACAGTAATAATGTTTCTGGATGAAGTGGTTTGCATGAAAACAAATCTTGAAACGAGATGGAATAGCCTTGGTCAAGTTCAGTAAATGAGTTAACAACAACATTATTAGTTCAACTAAGGTCAAGTTTTGGGTTATTAGAGGGTAAAAAGGTCAAATGGTTGTATTATTTATAATTAATTTAATGTTGCAAGTTGATCATTTCTAGAGAGGCAAACAAGCAAATAGTTGAATGTTGGTCATTCAATGAAAGCCTAAAAGAGTATAATAAATATTATTGAAAGATTAACTTAATAACCTTAATATTGGATCAAAATTTGTGAGAAATAGTTTAATAATAATGTTAATCTTGACAAATTAGACTGCATTTGATCTGATAATCTGTGGTTACAATCAAAAAATGAAAAAATTGAGTAAATTTGAAAAGAGCGCTTTTTGTTTTTTTCTTGTTTTCAATTTTTCTTCGTTTGCAGTTTTCAAATGTTTATAACCGTTTTTTTTATTCTACAATTTACAATTTACCCTTAAGGTTTAGTGATGACCCAATGGTTGATTAAGAAGATTAATTAGCATCTTGTCTTTCCCTCTTCAATCCTCTACTTCTCATAAAACCGGAAGGTTATTATTGTTGTACTGACCAAAGGGTCAAAACTAAAGCGCCATTATCATTATGCTTTTACATCTTTATTATTATGGCTATCGTTTTCAACTTTTTTTTGACAACTTTCCATCTTATATTTCATTCAATCTGGATATCTGGTTCAATCTTCAGCCAAACTGTGAGTCAGATTCATTGTGCTTTATGAGCAAACTGACGCAAAAAAACTGTTTTAACTTAAAGTTATTTTCATTTTTGGCTATTCATCAACAACTACAGTTTGGATCCAGGTTTTACAACCCTTCAGGCCATTCTTAACGCTCATGATGATGATGATTTTAACCAGTTTTGAAACCGTTAGATGAAACAAGTTGAAAGTGATCGTGTTTAAGGGTGAAATAAATTAGAGATGAAAGTTAATTTTTGCCAGGAAGAGAAAGTAACGTTTAAATTCATGATACATTTGCTGTTGGTAATGTTGATGTTGCTGATGATGCTGATGATGATTAAATAACTGTAGATGCTTTTTCATCATCACAAATGCTGACCGTGATTAAGGTAATACATAAAATGAATGATATTAAAAAAGCAGGACGATATAAGAGGAAGTTGCGAGATGCCAGTTGGCTTACATACATCGGAGGTTCAAATGAAATGTTTGCGTTTTTTTCCTCGATTATTTGGCTTTTCTGGTTAGCTGGTTGGTTAGTTGATTGTAACACTTTCCCCTTGATGCTCAACTAATAACATGAAAATAAGACTAATGTGACCGAGAAATGATAATTGTATAGAAAGATGTAAATCTTGAAGTAAAATAATGGCAACTTCAACAGCTACAACAAGCTACAGTAAAGCAAATTGATTATCATTGAAAATCATTGATATTTTAATTTCATGTTACATCCACGTTTAATCAATGATTATACCATTATAACCTTGCAATCAATGAATTGACTTTTCTGAGTGATTTACCCAGTAAATCAAGGGCAGACATTTCTTATCTAAAAGAGTAGCCTCTTCTTGAGATGCAGAGCAAATCAATTGTGGAAAAGCATCTCTTCTTTGAGTGTCAAGTTTATCATATTTATTTCATTAAATTGTCTTAATAACTGTAAAATTCCAGATAACCTTTTTAAAATCTCAATCAAATGAGCCATAAATTGAACATGAAATGAAAGTTGTAATCAAAGTGAGGAATAATTTTATTCAGTCAAAAAAAACCTCATCTTTTAACACACTTTAAGTTTGTATCCAATATTATAAGACCTAAGGGTACAAGTAAAAAGGTTTAAAGCGGACATTTTATATTTTTAAAACATCAACATTTCCCAAAATAACCCATTTTTGGCTGTTCAGCATTTCATTAATTGATTTCTTCTTCAATCCTTAATTTAGATTTGATCAATTTACCACCAAGAACGGGTAAACTTAAAGATATTAGTAAATTTGATGCTGAAATGTTCAACATTGATCCTTCCTTGGCTCATGATATGGATCCACAAATGCGTCTCCTCCATGAAGTTGTTTATGAGGCTCTTTGGGATGCAGGTAATTTAACCCTTATTCAATCATTAATAACAGTTATCCGAGACTAATTACGATCTCAAAAATTAAACACATTCACCAGAAAAGGTCACAATCTAAAATAAATAATCAAGTTGATGCTTTCAATGGTGTGTTTACCAACAACCCAATTGGTTTAAATGCTTTGTACTCTTCATTAAACGCACTACTCTGACATGATTCAATAATCAACTAAACTGTTGTTGTTTCCCTAATAATGTAACTTTCACTTGATTGCCATTATAATTGGAGATGAAATTTGATCAAATTGAGAAAGGTTAATTGGGCTCAATATTGTTTGTGGTTACATCCGAGTGAATTTACGTTTCAACTGTTTTAAGCTAACAATTGAATCTGTTTTATCAAAAAATCTCGCTTCAATCACAACAATTAATTCTAAATATAGAAAATATAACTAATCAACTGACTTTTGTTTTCATTTCATTTCTCAAATTTCAGTACTTTTTGGATGTCAAAGTCAATTGTTATTGTTTTGCTTTTCTAGAGCAAATTGATTCAAACAATTATAATTACCATTAGGTCAGTTAATTTCAGGTGAAATGAAGGTCCGGAAATTAAAGTGAAATTTATGCTATTACCTGTATTATTGTTATCCTGACTATCATTATTATTTTGAAAATATTTCATCTTACAATACAATTAACTGGAGAGAGTGAAATTATTTTCCCATTCTGACCTTATTAGTGAAAACAACAAAAGTTGACTCAATAGTTGGGGAATCTTTAAGTTGTATAATCTAACGTCAAGTTCAGGTTAATCAGTAACATTTCATCAGATACATGTATCATCATTATCATTATTATATTCTTGAATGACCTGAAAAAGACAATTTAATCATAGGTTTTGATCAAAGGTTGGTTAAAGTGTTTTTGTTTTTCAACGTCAATCATAATATTCACGTGTTAGATAGAAAGATTGGGAATATTTGAGTATTAATTGCTGGAATTGTTGAGAATTTAGTTTTTAATTGCTATTGTAAATGGAAAGTTTAATTGTTAGTGTTAAGTTAATTAATAATAATAATTTTTGCCACATAAAAATCACACTAATTGGGTTGGTGCAAAGAGTAAAGGAAGAAGAGAGAGCTTGGGTTCAATTTCCAAACATATGATGTTAACATGTGATAATTAGCTCTTGTTAGATTTTGAAAGTGATTTTTTCTAATCTTTTTTTTGTGTATTGTTTATTTATTTAATGTTATCTTTGTACTGTTTTAATCATTTGTTTAGGTCATGATCCTAATGATTTAAGAGGATCTCGAACTGGTTTCTTCTTGGGCTCATGTTATGACGATACATTGGCTGGTTATCGTGAAGATGATTCAAAGTTACGACCCTATCACTCATTTGCCTCAAGAATATCATATGCTTATGACTGGAAAGGCCCAGTTGTCCTGGTTGATACAGCTTGTGCTTCTTCATTTTCAGCTTTTGTCGAAGGATTAGCATCACTTAAATCAGGAGCCTGTGATCGATGTATTATTGGCGGAGTTGCTGTTCAACTTCGACCAGCTATTGCCAATGCTTTCGCTCAATTGAAAATGTTGTCACCTGATGGATCATCAAAGTGTCTTGATGCATCTGCTGATGGGTATTGTCGATCAGAAGCTGTTGTTGCTCTCTTATTGGAAAGAGAATCAATGGCTAAACGAATCTATGGTAAAATACTTAATTGCCGAACAAATTGTGATGGGTATAAACAAGAGGGAATCACTTTTCCCGGTTTCGAGACTCAGTACAATCTTTTGAAAGAGGTTTACGATGAGCTTGATATCTCGCCAGAAGATATTGATTATGTTGAAGCACACATTACTGGAACTCAAGCTGGTGATCCCGTTGAATCGGCAGCAATTGTTGGCTCATTGAGACCCAATAACTCAACTAAACCGATTATGTTTGGTTGTCTTAAATCATCAATTGGTCATTCTGAGGGTGCTTCGGCTCTTTGTTCATTGGCAAAGGTCAGTAAAATAATGCAAGCGGGTTGCATTCCTCCCAATCTCAATTACAAATCACCCAATCCAAACATCAAACCCTTGGTTGATGGAATAATTAAACCAGTTACAACTGTAACACCGTTTAAAGATGAATATATTGCTGTTAATTCGTTTGGTTTTGGTGGAGTTAATGTCCATGCTGTTATACAAGCAAATCCTAAAAATGTTAACCAAGAAAGTTACCACTTAACTCACCCAATTGATCGTTTAATTAATTCATCCAACCGTTCAATTGAAGGACTTAACGCTTTATTCAATTTCTTTGAAACTAACCGATCAGAAGTCAATCGCGAATTACTCCAGCTGATCAACGATACTGCTAAAATTAGTCCAGAACAAGGTTTTAAGGCTCGTGGCTATGTCATTTTATCAGCTGATGGAATGGTCAAAAGAGTTGTCAAAAGTTCTCCAGAGTCAAAACCTCTTTATTTGGCTTTTGGTTCAACTTTTGTTACTGAATTGACTAAAGAACTGATTGAATTTCCTACTATGCAAGCATCTTTGGAAGATTCAGTTAAGCTGTTGAGACAAGAAGTTGGTTATAATTTGGAGTCTCTATTGTCAACCAACAATAACGAAGATTCACTTGGCAGATCACTTAAATCACTTTCCATTCAATTAGCTTTTGTTGATCTACTCAAAAGTCTTGATATAAATGCTCAAGGAGTATTTGGAATTGATTATATTGGTGAACTTGCTGCTGCTTATGCAGACCAAATAATCAATAAAAAACAAGCTTTATTATCAGCATATTGGTTATCTAATCCCTCATCGTCAACTAACCAAAAAACAAACGAACTGTCAACAATTTTAAGCCCCCAATATGTTGGTAAACCACAAAAATTGATGCAACCTAATGGTTCAACCGAGATTACAGCAAATTATCTGATTGCCCGATCATCAGTTACTGTAACTAATGACTCAATTGCTAATTTATTGAGTAAGGTACCAGAAAATGGTGCAATTGTCACACCAAGTAAATCATTTGAATTCCAATTATCTCCAAATCAAATGACAATTCCAATTACCAAATCAGGCTCTCAAAATTCAACCCACTCAATATTGGAAGCCTTAGGGGAAATTTATACAACTGGACAATGGCCAAGGATTGATCGTCTTTATCCTTCAGTTTCCTATCCAGTCCCTCGGGAAACACCACATATTGGTCACCTTCTTCGATGGGATCATTCAAAATCATGGAAAGTTTGTAAATATCCAGAGTATTTTGATTTTATTCAATCAAATAACAATTATTCAATTGAAGCAATGTCACCTGATTGGGCTTTCATGGAAGGCCATTGTATTGATGGAAGGATATTGGTTCCAGCTACATGTTATCTTTACCTTGCTTGGCATTACCTTGGTCGTCTTCATGGTATTTGCGGTATTCGAGTTCCTGTTGAATTTAGAAATGTTCGTTTTATTCAAGCTACCCTGTTGCCCAAAAATGCATCTGTTACTTTTGGTGTACACATCAACTTGCAGACAAATGCTTTCCAAGTAACTGACAACGATGTCATTGTTGTTAGTGGAGAAATTAAAATTCCTTCTGAAGAAATTCCTCTCTATCAAAGCATGATGAGCTCAATTGCCTCTAAAATAGATCCAGAGGGAAATATTACTTTGAAAACTAAAGACATTTACAAAGAATTACGCCTTCGTGGTTACGATTATGGACCAACTTTCCAGGGTTTGGTTGAAGCATCTTCTGATGGTTCTCATGGTTTAGTTAAATACCTTGATCATTGGGTTTCCTTTTCTGATGCTCTTCTTCAATGTGCCATTCTTGCCAAAAGACATCGCTACCTTTATTTGCCAACTTTCATTGAATATCTTCGTGTTGATCCAACTATCTTATTTGATTCAATCGAGGAAGCTCGATCTAAGACTGGCGAGCCATGTCTTGATGTTTACTTTGACCATCAAGCTAAATTGGGCATTACTTCAGGAATTATTTTGAAAGGAGCAAAAGCGACTGCAGTTTCAAGGCGACCAAACAACCAATCAGTTCTCCTTGAATCGTACGATTTTGCACCCTTCAATCAATCTATTCCTGCTAACTTGAAAATGGAGAAAAAAATTGGTCATTACATTGATCTTTGTTCAACTGTTTTAAATCAATTAAACAAACCATCTGATGGTTCTTTCGATGATGCACCAGTTAAAAGATATCTTGAAACATCTAAAGATGAAGCTTCTCTTTTAAGAAGTCTTTATGAAGCATATCAGTCTGATGAAGATCAAACTTCAGTTAGCAAATTGTCTAAATCTTTAGATGCTAATCGTGAACCATTATCTAGTGATTTGTTGGTCTCACAATCAACTTTAAATGAATTAATTCAAGATCAAGTTGGTTTGGTTGTTGAAAATTTAACCTCAAAGAGTATAATCATAACTGAAATCAATGAGACTTTTGCCCTTCTCGCTGAATCAATTTCTGATTCTATATCTACATTAGGAATTCGTTCCAAAGTTAATCTAGTTCACCCTGAGCCCGAATCCTCAACTATCTCCTCATCACGAGCACGAATCATCAAAGGCTCATTAAGCTCAGAGCAATTACCATCAGTTGATACTTGTGATTTGATTATTTATAAAGATGCCAGAGTTAGACCTTTGGTTGAGAAAGTCAATTCCACTGAATCCCTTCCAATTAACAAAGTAATATCTTTCTGTTCAGAAAATCTTCGACAGGGTGGATTTGCATTACTATGTTTCCGTCTTAATAATTATACAATTGAAAATGAAATTTGCTCATTCCTTGGCTTACCTCAAGTTAATTTATTTGTTGATCAAATAACAGAAGACATGGCTACTTCGGCTGGTTTACAAGTCATTTCAAATATTTACGGCTCTTCAGGACAATTACAATCCATCTTACTTCGAAAATTGCCAAAAGTAGCAAACTATGAAACTTTGACCGTTTCAAATAATGACTTTAAGTGGGTTGAAACTTTGAAAACAATGCTTCTCAGTGAAATTGAGAAAAAGGTTTGGCTGGTTGCAGATACTAATGAGCCCATTAACGGTATCCTTGGTATGGTTAATTGTTTACGGCGAGAACCTCGAGGAGATCAAATAAGATGTTTATACAACATAAGACAATCAGAGGAAGACAACTCTTCACACTTATCAGCTGAAGAAATCTTATCAAAACGTTTAATTGAAACCGATTTGGTTATCAATGTTATTTACAATGGTGAACTTGGATCTTATCGTCACCATATCATCGATCCAAGTGAAGATCCAATGACACAAGCAAAACACATCTATTTAGATGTTAAAACTAAAGGTGATTTGTCATCCCTACGATGGCATCAATCCATTCATGACATTTGGAAGTCAGTACCTCCTCATTTGGCCTCAAGAGGAACAGATATAGTTCATATCTATTACTCAGCTCTTAACTTCAAAGATATCATGGTTGCTACTGGACGTATCCCTATGGATGCTTATCCAGAAGATTGTTTACAAGATTGTATTATAGGAATGGAATACTCAGGTATATGTGATAAATCGGGTAAAAGAGTTGCTGGTATGTGTAATGCCATGGGTACAGCAAGTTCAGTATTAGCAAATGAAAAGGAAACATTTTCATTTAACGTCCCTGACTCATGGACCTTAGAACAGGCAGCCACTGTTCCAGTTGTATATACAACTGTTTATTATGCACTCTTTATTCGAGGTAACCTTCGACCCGGTGAAAAAGTTTTGATTCATGCTGGAACTGGTGGAGTAGGTCAAGCAGCCATCTCTGTCTGTTTAGCTCGTGGTTGTGAAGTTTTCACTACTGTTGGTACTCAAGCTAAACGAGATTTCATCAAGAATCTGTTCCCACAATTAGATGATGCACATATTGGTGATTCTCGATCAACATCTTTTGAAGAATTGATCATGAAGGAAACCAATGGAACTGGTGTTGACATTGTACTTAATTCACTATCTGAAGATAAATTTAAAGCTTCTGTCAGGTGTTTGGCTGAGTTTGGACGATTCCTTGAGATTGGAAAATACGATATTATCCAGAACAATCCATTAGGTGAGTTATATTAGCATAGAGTTATTTTTATTCGTGATGTAATAATATTAATATTAATGATTCTTTTTCTCTTACCCAACAGAGGAAACCGTATTGGAAGGTAACAGAACCTACAATGGAGTCTGTGTTGCTCATTTACAGCAAGATATTTTTGGATATAAAACCCAATCAGGAATAGCAATGAATGAAACATTAGATTATATGATTCAGAGAGGTATTGAAACTGGTGAAGTGATTCCATTAACAACAGTTGTTTTCCCAATGGACCAAGCTGAAGAAGCTTTCCGTTTTATGGCTAATGGTAAACACATGGGCAAAGTTTTGATTAAAATGAGAGAAGAATCAGAAGATGCTCGTACATCAACTCGATTATACCCTTGTATTGCTCGAACCTATTTCCAACCAGACAAGTCATACATAATTACAGGTGGTCTTGGAGGAGTTGGTTTAGAGTTAGCCATTTGGATGGTTGACAGAGGAGCAATGAATCTAGTACTAACATCCCGTTCAGGTCCCAAGGAACCTTATCAACATTTTGTTCTTGAAAAACTTCGATCTGATAAAAACAGACGAATCGTTGTTTCAACCAACAATGGTTTAACTTATGCATCAGCTGCAGCATTGATTGAAGAGGCTTCTGATTTAGCTCCAGTTGGTGGTATTTTCCATCTTGCTATGGTCCTTGGTGATGCCATCTTTGAAAATCAATCAGAGGAAACCTTTGAAAAAGTCTGTGGACCCAAAATAAAAGCAACACGTTATTTAGATTCACTTTCACGAGCAACCTGTCCACATTTGGATTATTTTGTTTGCTTCTCATCAGTTGCCGCAGGTAAAGGTAATCCTGGTCAAACTAATTATGGTTTTGGTAATTCGTTTATGGAGCGTATTTGTGAGGATCGAAGAGCATCTGGTTTCCCTGGATTAGCTGTTCAATGGGGAGCCATTGGTGATGTTGGTGTAGTTGCTGAAAACTTTGGTGGTAATCAAGTTGTTCTTGGTGGAACAGTTCCTCAACGTATTCCTTCTTGCCTTGAAGTTTTAGACAAATTCATGCAATCAAAACACAAGGTAACTTCATCAATAGTCTTGGCTGATGCTAAGAAGGTGACTGGCGCATCTAAAGAGAATTTATTCAGAACAGTTTGTCACATTATTGGGGTTAAAGATCCCGGTTCATTGGATCCAAATGTAACCCTTTCTGAACTTGGTTTAGATTCATTGATGGCTGTTGAAATTAAACAAGGTCTAGAGCGTGATTATGATACTATTTTGTCTACTCAAGAAATTCGTAATCTCAAAGTAAAAGAAATTCAAGATTTGGAAGAAAGAATCTCTAAAATTAAGGTTTCTACAAAGGAATCAGGAGACAAATCTACAGGAGAAGCACCACTTTTTAACCTTAAGCCTCCTGAATCACTATTTTACAATATTGTTGAATGTACTGGAGTACCAATCTTTGTTTTCCCTCCAATTGAAGGTGATTTTAACCTTTTAGTACCAATCTTAAATGAACTTGATCGACCGGTTCTTGGTATTAATTGGACCCGTGATTTGGATCAATTTGAAACTTTAGAGCAAATTGGGGCTTATTATTCAGCAAAGATTAGAGAGAAAGCTCCAAATCAAATGGGCTTTGATTTCATTGGTTACTCTTTTGGTGGTTTGGTTGCCTTTGAAGTTGCAATTCAACTACAACAAATTATGGGTAAAGAATGTATTCGTCAACTGATTCTTCTAGATTCAGCTCCTGATTTCTTGAAGGCTGCATGTTCCGAATTGGTTAAACGAAATCAAATTGTCTCCGAAGATGAGGCTCATCTTGATATGTTAATTTCTTTTGTCTCCTCGATGTTTGCTTTTGAAAATGTCCAATCTTTCAGAGCCACTTTACTTAATCTTCCATCACGTGAAGAACGAACAAAGAAAATTAATGATCTTATCGAAAGTAAAACAGGAATTACAATTGATCCAAGTTTACTTACTTATGCAGCTAATCAGTATTTCAGGAAAATGAAAATGATGTATTACTATAAAACTAAGAGGAAGCTTGCTGGTAACGTTACAGTCTATAAAGCAACTGATGGTTATGGTAAAGCATTTAAAGAAGCTAATGATCAAGAACTCGGATTATCGGAGGTAAGTTAATTAAATTAATTAGTGAAATATAATTCATATGAAACTAATCTTCTTTTGTCTTCTCTGAATCATTATAGATTGTTGAAGGAGTCGTAACTATTCATCATTTCTCTGGAGATCATAAAAGTTTCCTTACTGAACATAGAATAGAGATTTTTGCTAAAATCCAAGACGCTCTGCATATTGTCGTGGCTTGATTACAAAAGAAATGACCAACAATTGTTTCATATTTCATGTTATTAGTTATCATAAAAAATCAAATCATTATTTTCTATTCAAATCATTCTGTTGACTTTTTTCAAAATTGTATTGTTAAGATTTCCTCAATTTTTCATGTCATTAAAATATTAATAATCTAATTAAGATTAAAATTGACCATGAGTATCGAAAATTCAATTTAAATACCGTTGATAACTGATCAATATAGAAGTTTTTATAGCTAGAAACGAGAGCCTCAAGGCTTCATGAAAAGGTCTCTCACTTTATTTGGTTACATAAGTCGCGTTTTAGCATGTCTTGAGAGAGTTTGAATTTTCTTTATCAATAAACAAAAGTGTGTGAAATTAGTAAATCCTTAGACATTCTTAACTATATAAATCATCGTCACCATCATCTCCGATTCCTCGAGCATCACCTCCTGTGGGACCGCCAGATGCTGGTTGAGTTCCTGATGGGAATCTGTACAATAAAATGTAAAAAGAGACGATTAGAATTACGACAATGAAAAATTTTCATCAAATTGTTTTATCAATTTTTATAACACCAATAAATTATAATATAAATTAATTGCATAAAATAAAATTATTAAGCTAACGAACAGAAAACGTGTTCGAATTTTTGACATGATTTTGCAATCTATTTCGACACATAACCTCATATCATGTGACTGTTTAATCGCTTTTTAGTCAAAAACGAACTTTATTTTATTTTAAACTGTTGAACTTTCATCATTTTTTATCATTTCATCTTAAAGAGCAATTCAAGTGGGTTAATGAGAAAAGTTCACGAAGAGTCAAAAGTTAACTTCATACATACAGAAACGAGCATAAATTGATCATGAAAAATAACTACCAAACAAATGAGATAAAATAAAATGCCAAAAAGTGAAGTGAATAAAATTGAAAATAACTATCAACTCTTGGGTGGACTTTTCGATGAGCGTCTTTTACGACGGTTGTTCCCTTTCGATTTAGTTCGAGGAGATTTAGAGTTTTTTGACGGAGACTCATCTAAAACATTTTTCTTAGAGCTTTGAGATAACTTTCTAATAGGGCTCTTCGAGGTAATTGATGATTTACGATCTGATGTTACGGATGGTTCTTTTTGTTGATTATCCACTTTAATATTTGTAACAGAAGGCTGACTAGAAGTTTCAGTATTAATATTTTGAGTTTCACGTGATGAGGAACTAATAACAATATTTGAAGGCCCTGGCACAGAATTTTGATCAACTTTAACGTCAGATTGATTGCTTGGCATTCTGAAGTTTCATTGATAAAATATTAGCAGAAAAAAAACAATGTGCATAAGTTGAAGGTTGAGAGCTAATGACAAAAGATTTTGTAATAAATTAATTGAACTTTACCTGAAGTTGGTTCCGAAACCTCGACTTTGTTGTAAGGTTTGAGAGAACATTTCATATTTGCGGATATCGTTATCACTAACTGATCGACGAGCGAATTTCATTGCTTCCTCGAAATGTTCTCTTCTGATCTCAGGGACGGGATCAACTTCTTCCACATCCTGAAGATAAAAATAAATTAATTAGCCTTCGAATATTCAAGTGATTGAGATTTTCAATAGAGAGAGATTAAACAGGAAAATTAAGTTATCTAAAAATTGAAGAATTCTCTAGAAAATCTCGGTAATCAGCAAATGAATTGCAAATAATAGAAAGAATTGAATATTAAAAATTAAACATACCATTGCAGCTCCTTCAGGCTGAGCAGCTCGTTCTTTTTCGCGTTTTATTTCAGCCTCAATCGATTCTCGAATGGCTAATTTACAGGCTCTTTGACAGATTTCAGTCAAATCAGCTCCACTGAAACCATGAGTGACTTTAGCAACGTAGGTTAAATCAACATCCTTAGCAATAGGAGATTTTCTCAAATTGGCTTTGAGAATGGACTCTCGTGACTTCTCATCAGGTAGAGGAATGTAGATAAGTTGATCCAAACGTCCAGGTCGAAGTATTGCAGGATCGATAATATCAGGCCTGTTAGTAGCACCAATGATGAAAACATTCTTTTTACTACCCATACCGTCCATTTCAGTCAAAATCTGATTAATGACACGATCAGCAGCTCCACCGGCATCTCCAACACTGCCACCTCTAGCTTTAGCGATTGAGTCCAACTCATCGAAGAAAAGGACACAAGGAGCAGCAGCTCTCGCCTGCAAATATGAAAATCATGGCTTAGTACAATTTTTCGGATGACTGTAATTTAAATTGGTTCTTACCTTATCAAAAACATCACGGACGTTAGCTTCAGATTCACCAAACCACATAGTAAGCAGTTCAGGTCCTTTGATAGAGATGAAGTTAGCCTGGCATTCATTGGCAATAGCCTTAGCTAAAAGTGTTTTACCACAACCTGGTGGTCCATAGAAGAGAACTCCTCTGGATGGAGTCATACCGAACTTTAAAAATTTGTCAGGGTATTCAACGGGGTATTGGATCATCTCTTGGAGTTCATGTTTAACGTTCTGTAAACCACCAATATCTTGCCATGTTACATTGGGTACCTCAACTACTGTCTCACGCAAGGCACTTGGACTGCTCTTTCCTAAGGCCCATCTGAAGTTATCCATAGTAACAGCAAGGGAGCTGAGAACTTCAGCATCAATTTGATCGTCTTCAAGATCAATAAGATCCATTTTTTCTCTGATTTGTTGTAAGGCAGCTTCTGAACATAATGCAGCCAAATCAGCCCCAACAAAACCATGAGTTTCCGCTGCAATCTTATCCAGATCTACATCATCAGCCAATTTCATATTCTTTGTATGAATTCTTAAAATTTCTAAACGACCAGTAGCATCAGGGATACCGATGTCAACCTCTCTGTCAAAACGACCGAATCTACGAAGAGCCGGATCTATACTGTTGGGTCGATTGGTTGCTGCCATGACGATAACATGGGCCCGTTGTTTAAGACCATCCATAAGTGTTAATAATTGCGAAACGATACGTCTTTCGACCTCACCATGAGTCTAAAGAAAAGAAACATTTTTAAATGATATAATTATGATATAACTTAATAATACGATCTTGAAAAAATCTTACCTTTTCTCTTTTTGGAGCGATAGCATCCAGTTCATCTATAAAAATAATTGCTGGTGCATTCTTTTCTGCTTCTTCGAATGCCTTTCTGAGATTACTTTCAGATTCCCCAGCCAATTTACTCATGATTTCAGGACCATTGATGAGGAAAAAGAAAGCACCAGTTTCATTTGCTACAGCTCGAGCAATCAGAGTTTTACCAGTACCAGGTGGACCATATAAGAGAATACCCCGAGGAGGTTTGACACCAATAGCTTTAAAGAGACTTGGGTGACGCAAGGGAAGCTCAACCATTTCTTTGATTTGGGCAAGTTGCTTTCTACAACCTCCGATATCGTCATAACCTACGGCATTTAATGTATCTTCTTCTTCTTCACGTTTCACAGGATCTCCCTCACAGTGGATAACCGTGTCAGGAGCGACAATACAGAAAGGAGATGGATCAGTCTCAACGACTTTGAATTCCACAGCTCTCATACCACCCCGAACCATGAAAAGATCGCCTTTGTGAATTGGTCTGTAAGCTTCTAAAAAGTATGGTTTGAGGTATACATCGAACAAACTACCAGTGAGCCCTTCTACAGTATCATCAATAGGTAAAACATGGATTCTTTTACCATATTTGACATCAGGATATGGTTGTATGGTAACAATATCGCTAAGTCTGACGCGGAGATTGTTACGAACGCATCTATTCATTCTAACTTTTTCATTAGGACAGGCATCATCCTGTAAAACGATACAGACAGTTTCTCGTCGCTTTTTACCTTTAAGGAGGACAGTATCTCCACGGAAAAGTTCAAGCTCATCCATTTTAGCCTGTAGCATATAGAACAAAGGAAATGGAATAAGAATGTTACAAAACTAGGGTCAAGAAACAAGAAAAGTATATTTGACATGGAAAATGATTTTCTTACCTGGGAGAGAGCAACAACCGAATTATCATCATTAGTAGCTTCTTCAACAATCAATCGGTTTGGTTTGTTTTTGGTTTTTAATATCGCAGTGGATAGATCCTCAGGGCTATGAAAGGAAGAAATTGGTCGAAATAAAGAAATTAAATTATAATCAAACACATGTAGGAAAAAATAAAGCGATGAAACAAAAGATCAAAATACTCCTTTGTCAAGATGGAAGGGATAGAAGAAGAAAAGGAAAGAAAGGCATTTTCTTCCGAATCTCATGTCGGTGAATAAAATTGCAAGATAAAGTTAATTTGCAAATGAATTGACTTACTTTTTCTTATCAGTCATGATGAAACCAGGTGATAATAAAACAGACAAGTAAACACAAAAAATACAATTAAAGATATGACACTTTTTAAATTGTCAGATAGATTTAAATGAATATTAGGACCCAAAAGACCAGAAGTTAGTGTAAATTTTCTGATGAATCACTTAGAATGATGAGAGACTTTTTTTTGGTAACACTAGTGACCGTTTGGTGGCACTACTAAGGGAAAAATAAATAATTTCGGATTGGATGTGGATTTAAACTTTAAGGTTTTACCCTAAAGCCTTTTAAACCCAAAAGCTTAAAATCAAGTTTACTTTTCAGATCAATTTAGAGCAAAGGATCAAAATTTCAAATGTTTTTGAAGCAGTCAATTGTTCAAGAAACGAAGGATTAAAATAGACGTTAAAGAAACATGAATATTGTTAAAAGGATAAGTTAATTAAATGAGGATTCCCAAGTTTTCGTTTTCTAGGAATAGCTTTCACTATTCGCAGCTTTAGTTTTATTTCATGATTTCAATCTTCCATATTTATCAGATCAGTTTTAACCATTTTATTGTCGATATTTCACCAAGAAAATGGAATTTATCTGTTTAATAATTGAAGAAATTGGAATGTTTGATAGAAAAATCAAACAAAGATTTTAGATCTTGAGATTTTATTTTGCCTACAGTCAGTTGCTTACAGTCATTTTAGATTTGCTGAATTATCACTCCAGGACTTTAATTAATCATAAAGGATTAGATTGATTAGATTGAGCTAAGTTGTTGCAAATGATCTCATGCGAAAATTTCACTTTCGAGTGACGATTAGAAACTTGCAGCCGTTGTGACGATTGTTGATTTGGTCGTTTAAATAAATTGATTATTGCTATGGAAAATTAAGCTGAATCTACAAACAAGATAAATATTGAGTTATCACAAAAAATAATCAATCGTTCATGTTAATCAATCATTTCCGTGAAATGATTTCAATTTCTCAAAACAAACAGCTCTGAAAACATTGTGATTGCATCGAAAACGAGAAAAGTGATAATTAGTGATATTTGATTGTATTAAACTGAATTGATTTTATTTTGATTCTAAGATGTTTTAAAACTAACAGGGGTTCGGATGTAATATAAACAATACATAATAAAATTTGGATGATTAAATCTTTTTCTTGATTCTGTGAAAGTTAAGTATTCAAAAGTTGAGTCAATAAATTTTCAATCATTGTCACAGCTTTCTGTTTACTTTCAGCTGATCTCATTGAGATTGAGATTTCAGTAATTTTCTGATGAAACTCGGTGTTAGTCAATGTTTCCTCTATTGCATCAAGTAAATTTGTATCGAGATCCCAGCTATTCAGGCGTTTACCAATGTTACAGTCGACAACTCGTTGGGCATTATCAAATTGGTCAAAGAAAAAAGGAATCACAATCAAAGGTTTACCAAGGTATAATGTCTCCATAAATGTATTATTACCACCATGAGTAATTACCATATCAACAGCTTTCAAGATCGGGATTTGGTCCACATAATTCTGTCCCCACATATTAGGTGCAAGAACAATTTCATCACCTCTTGGTCCTTTAGAAACAATAAAACGATGTGGCGATTTGGCTAGAATATCGATGAGCTTTCTCATCAATTTAACGTCAATTGATCCAAGTGAACCAAGGGAGAAGAAAATCAATTTCCCAGGTAAATTTGCCAAAGAATCGGGGATTTTAAACACTGAGGCATCATTTGACTGACGTATGCTTGCATCAACTCGAACCCATTTGTCAGATATTTTAGGTCCACATTCTGTATAATCAAGTCCTTCAGGATAATGATAAAATCCAAAATATTTGGGTTCATCAACAAAATAAGTTTCCTTTGAGACGCTTGGTACCTTGTGTGATTCCCACCAAGGAGTCAATTTTTCACCAAACCTTGAAGTTGCATCAAAGTAAAGTTTCTTGAACTGTTCAGCTGTTTGCTGATCAACTTTAACAGAGTATCCTGAGAATGGCGGAGGTCCTTCAGGGTAAATTGATAAAGGATTCATTGAACATAGTGGTATGTAAGGTTTAGTTAACTGGTATAAAGCTGGGTAACGAGTGATAAAATCGCCGATGAAAATATCAAACGAATCATGGTGTTCTTTTAGAACCTTTTCAAGCGCTTGATTAGTAGGCTCGTAGGAATCAGTTATGATTGTAAACAATTCTTTATCCTGATCGGACCAGTTCGAATAACGTGTCAAGGCATCTGAACGGAATTTATCCAAATTGGTTTCAACCCAGTTTTCAAAGGGCTTTGAAGACAATTGGCTGAAAAATGATTCATCAAAGGGAATAAAGTTAAAACCATGTTTTTCAGCCAGCTTAGAGAGGTATGAACGGTTCACAAATGTGACTTCATGTCCTGCTTGGGCAAGAAGCTCACCAAAGCCCAATGTACAATTGATGTGACCAAATCTGTAAGTAATGGTGGAAATTAATAATATTGACTTAATATTTTGATGAAAACATAGATTGTAACAATAAATATTAACGTGACTTACGCTTCGATTGAGGATAAAAAGACTCTATATTTAGATTTCATTTTAGATCATTCAATATCCAATCTTTCTGTGGGGCGAAATTTAAAATACTGGTGAAAATTAACTCAAAAATAATATTAATACATTTTAACAGTAACAGTCATAATTTTCAATCAATGTCATTCAAGAATTGAAAATAAACGCAATTTATACAGAAAACTCTTAAGATAATCATTGATTACACACTTTCTTATCATTCAGGTTTTTATCCTTCATCAATACACTAGAAATAATCAAGGTTAGGGAAATTGTGCAATTTACAATTGTAATTAGATCTATTATAAGACCTAAAAGCGTTCGCACAAAAATCACTTATTGAGTACCTTAGAACTTAAAGGGAACAATATATTAATAAAAATATGCTGATTCAGCACGTTCCTGGTGAGTTTTTGAGTCCGTTAAATGCCAGATGAACTTTAGATAAAAATACTTTTAATTGATCAGATATTGATCATGACAATAAATGTCATTTGATAATAGTGGGCTGGATTGTTTGTAACACAAGTTAAATGTGAAGAGTTGAATTGTATGACTGAATAAGCTATGAAATTCAGTATAAAAATGACAGAGATTTGCTCATTCAATCACTTTTTTCTCAAACAGGGGCAAGCCATTAATTAGGTTCAATGAAGCCATTCTTTACCGAAATAAGTCAACAAGAGGCCCAATTAGTTATTGGTGCTGTGTCTGCGAAAATTGTTCATCTCGAGGTAAATTTGAAGCAAATAGTGACCAATCATTCACCTGACCTTACTGATTTAATTTCGCGAAATCAACGAATGAAAATTAAACAATTCATCAAATCTGATCCAACTAAATCAGGACTGGAGATTTACAATCAAGCTAAAATGGACGTAATTGACTCGGCAGAGTTTCGAAAAGAACTTTTGGGTGTTTCATTGCAATCTTTTATAACATTACAGCCTACGATCTCATACTCGAAATTAAAATTGTTAAAACCTTTGCCTGCTTGCTGTGCTTATACCAAAGTTTCAAACGGACCAAGTCTGCGACCAATGTTAAATTTTTTGCACTTTCTCTATGTTGCTCGTTGTAACTTTAATTTTCAAAATTAAACCAGGCGATTATTTTGCAAGTTAATTGCTCACCTTAAGAAAATATTAAATTCATAACTATCCAGAGTATACGATATCTGAAAACATAATGAATGGACGAATTATTTCATGAAATAAGATAAATATTGAGCTATTACAAAAAAAATTAATCATTTCCGTGAAATGATTTCAATTTCCCAAAACAAACAGCTCTGAAAACATTGTCATGAGATTGTATCGAAAACAGAAAAGTGATAATAGGTGACATTTGATTGTATTAAATTGAATTCATTTTATTTTGATTCTAAGATGAGTTAATGCAAGGGTTTGGGTGAAATATATAATAATATCAACAATGAATAATAAAGATGATTAAATCTTATTTTTTGATTCTCTCTAAGTCAAGTTGAGTCAATAAATTTTCAATCATTGTTACAGCTTTCTGTTTGCTTTCAGCTGATCTCATTGAGATTGAGATTTCATTAATTTTCTGATGAAACTCGGTGTTAGTCAATGTTTCCTCTATTGCATCAAGTAAATTTGTATCAAGATCCCAGCTATTCAGACGTTTACCAATATTACAGTCGACAACTCGTTGGGCATTATCAAATTGGTCAAAGAAAAAAGGAATCACAATCAAAGGTTTACCAAAGTATAATGTCTCTATAAATGTGTTATTACCACCATGAGTAATTACCATATCAACAGCTTTCAAGATCGGGATTTGGTCCACATAATTCTGTCCCCACATATTAGGTGCAAGAACAATTTCATCACCTCTTGGTCCTTTAGAAACAATAAAACGATGTGGCGATTTGGCTAGAATATCGATTAACTTTCTCATCAATTTAACGTCAATTGATCCAAGTGAACCAAGAGAGAAGAAAATCAATTTCCCAGGTAAATTTGCCAAAGAATCGGGAATTTTAAACACTGAGGCGTCATTTGCTTGGCGTATACTTGCGTCAACTCGAACCCATTTGTCGGATATTTTAGGTCCACATTCTTTATAGTCAAGTCCTTCAGGGTAATGATAGAATCCAAAATATTTTGGTTCATCAACAAAACTAGTCTCTTTTGGCAAGCTTGGTACCATGTGTGATTCCCACCAAGCATTCAGTTTTTCTAAAAACCTTGAAGTCGCATCAAAGTAGAGTTGCCTGAATTGTTCAGCTGTTTGCTGATCAACTTTAACAGAGTATCCTGAGAATGGCGGTGGTCCTCCAGGGTAAAGTGATAAAGGATTCATTGAATATAGCGGTATGAAAGGTTTGGTTGATTGGTATAAAGCTGGGTAACGAGTGACAAAATCACCAATGAAAATATCAAACGAATCATGATGTTCTTTCAATACCTTTTCAAGAGCTTTATTAGTAGGCTCGTAGGAATCAGTTATGATTGCAAACAATTCTTTATCCTGATCAGACCAGTTCGAATAACGTGTCAAGGCATCTGAACGGAATTTATCCAAATTGGTTTCAACCCAGTTTTCAAAGGGCTTTGAAGACAATTGGCTGAAAAATGATTCATCAAAGGGAATAAAGTTGAAACCATGTTTTTCAGCCAGCTTAGAGAGATATGAACGGTTCACAAATGTTACTTCATGTCCTGCTTGGGCAAGAAGCTCACCAAAGCCCAATGTACAATTGATGTGACCAAATCTGTAAGTAATAATGGATTAGTTGGTATTTTGACATTAATTTATTAACACAATAAAAAATTGAAGTAACTTACGCATCGATTGAAGATAAAAAGACTCGATATTTAGATTTCATTTTATTAGATCATTCAATATCCAATCTTTCTATGGGGCGAAATTTGAATACTGGTTAAAATTAACTTAAAAATAATATTTATATATTTTAACAGTTACAGTCATCATTTCCAATCAATGTCATTCAAGAATTGAAAATAGACTCAATTTATACAGAAAAATCTTAAGATAATCATTGATCACACACTTTCTTATCATTTAGGTTTTTCACCACAATCAATACACTCGAAATAATCAAGATTAGCGCATTTTCACCTAAATGTATTTGAAATTACGAAAGTTTCATCTAAGCACAAAATATTATCATCTAAAAGTTAGCGCTGCTTAAGAAATGGGAACTCAAGGATTAGTTACATAATTCAAATGTTTAATTTTTTTGTTTGCCTCCAAAAACTTTGACTTTCGAGTTACAAGAGTTGTAAGAGTCGAGACCAGGTAAGTTTAGGACATTAAAAAGTCAACTTATGTGAAAATCATAATCGACAGTTTTTGTGTAGTAATTGGAGTTTGTTGTTTCATTAAACTGCTGATTAAAGAGTTTAAACTCATTTTTTTCCCCAGAACTGATTTATGAAAATTGAAAATAATATGACATAACTGAATAGATTTACACCTAGCCTTTGAATCAACAAATACCCCTGCAACACATCACAAGACTCAGGAAAATGAGTAACAATTAATCTGCATAATTTATTAACCTGATAACATACGCAATACAATACAATAGCATGCGTTGAAAATGTGTGTCGATAAAAAGTCGCTTAACCTGCAAATCGTCGATTTCGCACTTACTCTTCGTTACTCATTTTACAACTTTAATTTTAAGAATCGAGTTCACAGATCATGCTGCGAGTTCAGCCTCGAAAAATATTACATATTGAGCAGCCAAGTATGTAATTAGAGTGAATCATGCCTTAATTAGTTAGTCAGAACAGATTCTCACCAAGATTAAATTGCTAATTGCAAGAAATTAATTGTTTTAGGATGTTTACTGCTTTACTTTAATTACATACTTGGTTACCTAATATATTACATCCAGAGTCTACGATGTCCGATAATGAATGGACTTATTACAAAACATAAAAAATAAAAATGCTAGTATGCTGAATGTATGCTAAAAATTGGCAACAAAGCAGAGCTTAGATCAATTGCACTGCACCTTTGTATTGAATAATTACATGTAGTACCTTCGTGCTCTGTTCTTAGGTCTAAGAATTGAGGAATTGAACAAAAATCACATGTATTCGTACCTGGGAACCTAAAGGGAATAATAAAAAATATGCTTATTCCGCACGTTCCTGATGAGTTTTTACATAATCTATTTGATAAATGTTTCATTTCAAACAAAAAACCGGTAATGATTATTTTGATTGAGATGCACAATCAGATCTGGAATATTGTTGAATGAGGTAACATTAACGCAGTCCATTCAATCAAAGTTAACTTCATATCAAAAATACAATTAATTGATCAGATATTGATCATAACAATAAATGTCATTTGATAATAGTGGGTTGGATTGTTTGTAACACGAGTTAAATGTGAAGAGTTGAATTGTATGACTGGATAAGCTATGAAATTCAATATAAAAATGAAAGAGATTCATCAATTCAATCAATTTTTCATCAAACAGTAACAAACATCAAACCAGAATAATGTTTTCATTCTTAGCCATTTTCCCAATTCTTTTCGCCCTTTCAGCTTCAACTCCTTTGGCTGATTTGTTGGATTCCAAGTCAAATGCTGGTTACAATATCCATGCTGTATTGGTTGCTGGGTCAAATGAATACTACAACTATCGTCATCAAGCCGATGTTTGCCATGCCTATCAGGTCCTAAGAAATCATGGTGTTCCTGCCGAAAACATTATTGTCATGATGTACGACGATATCGCCAATGATCCTGAGAATCCTTACCCTGGTAAAATATTCAATGCTCCTAATGGCTCTGATGTTTATGCTGGTGTATCAAAAGATTACACTGGTGATGAAGTAACTCCTGCAAACTTCCTTGGTGTACTCAAAGGTGACAAGGCTCTTGCTGCAAAGGGTAAGAAAGTACTCACTTCTGGACCCAATGACCATGTTTTCATTTACTACGCTGATCACGGAGCTGTTGGCCTTGTTGGTTTCCCATCTGACACCCTTTCTTCAGATGATTTGAACAAAGCTTTGGTCTACATGCATGACAATAAGTTGTATGGTAAACTTACATTTTATTTGGAAGCTTGTGAATCTGGTTCAATGTTTGAAAACATTTTACCCAGTAACATAAACATTTACGCTACTACTGCTGCCAACTCTGAAGAATCAAGTTATGGATGTTATTGTGATGACGAAAAAATTGGTACCTGTCTTGGTGATGAATATTCAGTTGCTTGGCTTGAAGACTCTGACTCTCATGACATAACCAAAGAAACATTGGAACAACAATTCACAGATGTTGTGAAACACACTCCGAGCTCACATCCACAAGAATTTGGTCAAAAGTCTTTGGCCAGTCTAGATGTTAGTCAATTCCAAGGTGAAAAGGCTGGTAAGATTCGCGTTCCAAGAAGACATCCAAAGAGTTCCGTAAACGCTAGAGATATTCCTTTAGTTATGCTTAAGCGTAAAATTAAGCGAACAAATGACGCCGCTGAAGCTGCTGTTCATGCTAAAAAATTACATACTTTGATTGCTGGTCGACGATTCCTTGAATCAGGCATCAAAAAGATCGTCTCTCAACTCTGCTCCGATGGTTACTGTTCAGATGCCAAGCAAGTCATGTCAACTCGACGACCATTAGTCAATCATTCAACATACTCAAAAGTAGCCAAAAAGTTCCAATCAAGTTGCCTTAACTTGGGTATCCACACTCATGGAATGAAATTCATGTATGCTTTTGCCAATCTTGTTGAATCAAACAACTTCAATGAGTCAACATTGAACCGTTTCTTGGAAGATTTGGAACGAGCTTGTAACAATCACATCGTTGACCATGGATTCAAAGCTATTGTCTAAATGAAAAAATGGATAAAATCTATGATAAAATGAATTAACAACGAGAGGCGTTGGAACAAGTGTTCAGCAAATCTGTTTTTTTTTGCTATCACCATTGGATGAGAAAAATGAGCAAATGTTAACGTTAAATTTTTCCATCCAAGCAATAAATATTAAAAAACTATTTCAATTACTCAACGGTAATCAAAATTTATTATCACAATAGAGCATCTAAAAACCTTCATTATATACGATTTGGTTGAATTGAACTGAATTGATTTTATTTTGACTTTGAGAAAAGGTGTGTTAATACTAACAGAGGTTCCGATGAAATATTAATATTAACAATTGGATGATTAGATCTTATGATTTTTTAAGTTAAGAGTAAGGTAAATGAATAAAAACTATCCTGAATAAATGAAGCATCTATTAACCTCACAATATTATACGCGATACAATGCTACATAGGTGTGAAAATGTGTGTCCACCAAAACGCACCAAGTCTGTGACCGATGTCAATGTTTTTGCATTTATTCTATGTTGCTCGTGGTAACTTAAATTTTTAAAATTAACCTAAGAGATCATTTTGCGAGTTAATTGCTCACCTTAAGAAAATATTAAATTCATAACTATCCAGAGTATACGATATCTGACAACATGATGAAAGGACGAGTTGTTTCATGAAACAAGATAAATATCGAGCTATCACAAAAAATGATCAATCGTTTATGTTCATCAATCATTTCCGCGAAATGATTTCACTTCCCAAAACAAAGTTACATTAACATTATTATCTGGAAATATTATTATGGGATTGCATTGAAAACAGAAAAGTGATATTTGATTGTATTAAACTGAATTGATTTTATTTTGATTCTGAGTAAAGATGTGTTGATACTCGGATGAAATATTAACAATACATAATAAAGTTTGGGTGATTAAATCTTATTTCTTTGATAATCTTTAATTAAGCATTACAAAAGTTGAGTCAATAAATTTTCAATCATTGTTGAGATTGAGATTTCATTAATTTTCTGATGAAACTCGAGATTATGATTCACACTAAGCAATCTATTTTTCACCAAACCTTGGCCTCGCATCAAAGTAAAGTTGCCTGAACTGTTCAGCTTTTGTCGATGCTCTAACAGAGTATCCTGAGAATGGCGGAGGTCCTTCGGAGTAAAGTGAAAACGGATCCATGTCCTGCTTGGGTAAGAAGCGAGCCAATTGATCAGAAATTAAGTATAACGCTAAATGTCATTTGATAATAATGAGCTGTTTTTTATAACACAAGACTAATAGTAACTTAGCAACCCCCGACTTAGCGAATAAATTATCCTGATAACATACGCAATACAATTGTTGTTACTAAAAAGACACAATCAAAACAATTGTCACATTTAAGCACAGATTGACAAAAATTAACAAAAACGGTAAAAATCAATTTCTTTCAAATTTAGACTCTGGATGTTTGTACGGACATAAAACCTGAATCCATTTGTGTGATTTAAAAATTTCTCTGAGGCACAGTTTTCGAGAAAATCGAGTTCAGAGTTGAAACTTCGATCGCCTTTTGTTCATTTAACGAAGCAGACTTCTTCATGAAACTAATTTTACTGATGTACATTTGAATGGCCAACCAAAAAATGTATTTATTTTGGTGAATAAAATTTTCTATCTTCAGTAAAATAGATAAGTTCGATTTTCAGTTGAACGGATCTTTTTCTATGACCGTGAGAGTTAGCGAGCTGAAACTTTTTATTTGTCCATAAAAATTGTTGACTTATATCATGGATTGAACAATTTTATCAATTTATTAGCAGTTCTCTTGATTTCGACCATTGGCCTTAAAACTTTCTGCCTCAATATTTCGAGTTTGGTAGCCCTTACAGTCATCATTCTTTCACCAATTTGATTCTTTACTAATTAATAATTCAATTCACTTTAATAACTTTCCGATAGCGCATTTGGGTCTTAATTTTTGGGTTGTAAATGCACCAGTAACAACTTATTCAACAAAACAAACTCATATTAACCCATTTCTTGGTAAATAAACCAATTTTCTGGTTAAACTTACAAATGAAATGCAAAGAATGCTGCCAAAGTCTTGAACATTTGAGTAAAGAGTTCAGACTTACTGGGTTTGTAAGGAAATGAAAACTGAACCTATTGATACTATTGAATAATCCATCCGATTGGCAATTTTCGAGGAAATCGAGGTCAAAGTTGAGACTTCGATCGCCTTTTGTTCGTTTATGGAAGCAGATTTTTTCATGAAACTCATTTCCCTTAATGTAAATTTTAATGGCAAACCAGAAAATGGACTTTATTACATGAAATAAAGTTTTGTGTCTCTATAAATCCGATTAGTTCGATTTTCGTTTGAATCGACATATTTCTGTGACCGTTAGAGTAAGCAAGCGGAAACTTATTATTGATCGATAAAAATTGTTTGCACACATCATGGATTGAATCCTTTGTTCAATTTACCAACGGTTCTCTTGATTTTGGCCATTGGCCTTAAAACTTTGAACCTCCATATTTCGAGAATGGCATCACCTAAAATCATCATTCTTTGATCTAAAATTAGGTTTATATATGAGTTATATTATGATATGACTAAATACAGTTAAAAATGAATATCCTTTTAACAATTAAGATTTGTGTCAAGTAACCTTTTAACTTTATAATTTAAGTCTTAAATCGGACAACATG